AGATTTTTATCATATCTGGCCACCTATATTATTATTAATATTTTTTAATTTAACTCACTTTTTAACTTCTTAAAAAATATATATTTTAGAGGAAATTTTATATCACAATTGTAATATAAAACTGGTATCACATGCCATAAAAGTAAAAACAGAAACAATGAAACAACAACAACAAAAAATGTTTTGAGATCTAGCCAGCTGCTGCTGCCGCCTGCAAGGCTCTGTGGAAACGGTCCTGCTCTCGGGAAACAAGTTACAGAAGTGTTTCTTCCAGGAATTTTACAGTTTCAGGTCTTATTTTCAAGTCTTTAATCCACATGTTGAGTTGATTTTTGTGGACGGTGTAAGATAAGGGCCCAGTTTCATTCTTCTGCGTGTGGCTAGCCAGTTTTCCCGACACCGTTCGTTGACGAGACTGTCCGTCCCCCATCGTGTGTTCTTGGCGCCTTTGTTGAAGACACTTGACCACGTGCACGGATTTTATTTCAGGGCTCTTGGCAGTGATTTCACAGATATGACACCAAAAGCACAGGCAACAAGAACGAAAATAAACAAGTGGGACTACATCAGACTAAAAACCTTCTGCACAGCAAAGGAAATAATCAACAGAGTGAAAAGGCAACCCACAAGATGGGAGAAAATATTTGCAAGTCCTATATCTGAGGGGTTAATCTCTAAAATATGTAAGGAACTCATACATCGCAATAGCAAAAAAGCTAAAACCCAATTTAAAAATGGGCCAAGGATTTGAATAGATATTTCCCCAAAGAAGATATACAAATGACCAACAAGTATATGAAAAAAGGCTCAGTGTTACTAATCGTCAGGGAAATGCAAATCAAAACCACAATGAGCTATCACCCCACACCTGTCGGGATAGCTGTTTTCAAAACAACATCAACAAGACAAGAAGTATTGGTGAGGACGTGGAGGAATTGGAACCCTTGCGTTCTGTTGGTGGGAATGCAAAATGCAGCTGCTATGGAAAACGGTATGGAGGTTCCTCAAGAAAATTAAAAATAGAATTTCCATATGATCCAGCAATCCCCACTTCTGGGTATTTATTCGTGGGAATTGAAGTCAGGATGTGGAATTGATATTAACGCTCCCGTGTTCATTGCAGCACTATTCACAATAGCCAAGGTGTGGAAACACTCTAAACGTGGTTTCTACGTATGATGGAATACTATTCAGCCTTTAACAAGAAGGCAGGTCTGCAATATGTGGCAGTGCGGGTGGACCATAAAGACACTGTGCTGACTGAAATAAGCCCATCACAGAAAGGTAAAATCCTGCGTGATTCCACTTACATGAGCCGTCTAAAACAGCCAAATTCATAGACTCAGAGTGAGATGGTGGTTGCCAAGGGCTGTGGGGACAGAATGTGGGGAATTAGTGATCAACGGGCATGAGGTTGCAGTGAAGCAAGATGAATAAGCCCTAGAGATCTGTGTACAACGGCCAACAATACCATACTGCGCACTGAAAAAGTCACTGAGGGTAGATCTCACGTTAAGTGTTCTTACTATAATAAAATAAAGTTTTGAAAAAGAAAGAGAAGTGTTAACTCTCTGGAGCGTCTTCTTTAAGTTAAATTGGATTGGAAAAAAACCTGAGGAAACCCAACCTTTCTCCCTAGCCAAGGCGTCGTCATTTGATGTCATCCCCGTGCTGACTCTGTCATCACCCCTGGGAACCGGTTCACTGTTGTAGTTGGTACAGTGGAGACAGCCAAAGGGTAAACGTCCGTTTATCAAGCAGCTGGTATATGGTGGAGACCTGACAGCCACTTTCTCACTCATTCTGTGGCACCACCTTCCGAGGTGGCGTTAGTTATTTCCACTTTACAGATGAGCACACTGAGGCTCCTAGCGGTGATGGCACTTGGCCAGAGTCACACAGCTAGGAACCCACAGCCAGCGTCGGGAGCTGGGGCTGTCTGACCTTTTGTCATCCCCCTGATCAAGCAGGACCTGCTCTCCTCCCCTCTCCTTTCATCCCTCCATCCACCATCCACATCTGGCCAAAGGGCCAGGATTCCTTCCGCGGCAGAACCAAGTTTTCCTGGAACTGTAGTTCTTTGTCTTTACTGACCAAACCCAAGACAATTCTAGAGTTTTTCAGAAGCAGTTTATTTCTCTGCCCAGGTCACGTTTTCATTGCTAGCCTGTCCTTCCAGAAGGAAAGGAGCAAAGATCTAAGCCTTCAGCCACCTTTTGTTAGTAACCCGGCTTATTTTACTGTTTGGCGGTTTGGTCTGGCTTTCGCTTCCTAGGAATTCCACAAAACAGAAGAGAACTTGGCATTGCGGGGAGGTTTCTGAGGACCACCTTGTGCCCACCCTCGCTGGTCCATTCAAGGCCTCTGCCCCTTTCTGCAGGGAGTGCCCTGCGAGTCCCCTCTAGATAGAGACCGTGGCCTCCTCGGGGCCCACCCGGCTCTCCCTAGACGGGCCACGTGACCACGCACAGGCCTCTGTCTCGTGTCATTAACCCAGCGGACACTTTTCGCCAGTGTCCGTCTCCCCAGCACTGTGTGGACACGCAGGGAAAGGGCAGGAGGGACAGCCGCACGCCCCTGCCCTCTGGATTCAGGCTGGAGGAGCTGCGGTCGGTCAGCCCAGGGCCCTCAAGTCCAGTCACTGCACCAGAGCCTCCGCTTGCCTATCTCTGAATGGGCCAGCGCTCCCAGGACGACGCGAGGTGACGCAGACAATCCCGTTCAGGAGCAGTGGAGAGCCAAGCCGACAGAGGACGTGTTGTCACTGCGGTCTGGGGCGAACCGCGGGCTAGCTGCCCCCAGAGCCAGTGCACCGCACCATCCAGTGTATCACCAGCCCCTTCACTACGTGCTTCCTCCTGCAAGAGCTGCAGGATTTCAGGGGACAGAGAGGCCCACAGGGGGCCCCAGGACAGCAGCTTGTCGTGGGCAGGAGGGTGAATACTCGCGGCTCCAAGCCAGAAAGAGAAGGGGGTCAGAAGCCGGAGTGGGGGAGGGAAGTGCCTGCTCTCTCCCCACTGGGCTCTCTGCCTCCGGCCTGGAAAAAGCCAGTCCCTGGGGATTCCCTGCAGAGCAGGAGCTGCTGCAAGGCTCATACAAAAATCAATGAGCCACAAACACCAGGCCCTTCAGGTCAGCAGCCTTCACCCCCAAAGGACAGAGAATGGACAGTGACCAGGGAAGGCACCTTACTAAAGCACATCCACCCCCTCACATGTGGTCTTCTCCGTTGGGTCTGGGGTGGTGGCATCTGGGTTTAGCTTCAAGTCAGAGCCTGACTCAAAGGCCAAGTAGGGTCAGCAGCCCAAGTGACCATCAATAGATGAATGGGTAAACAAGATGTGGTCTGCACATACGATGGAATATTATTCAGCCTTGAAAAGGAAGGAAATTGCAACACGTGCTACACCGTGGATGAACCTCTGAGGACATTAGGCTAAGTGAAAGCAGCCAGTCATAACAGGACAAACACTGTATGATTCCATTCATATGAGATACCAAGAGCGGTCAGATTCGCAGAGACAGAAAGTAGAACGGCGTCGGCCGGGAGCTGGGGAGGAGGATGGGAGTTCGTGTTTACTGGGCACAGGGTTTTGGTTTTGCAGGGTGAGAAGAGTTCTGTGGACGGGTGGCAGTGATGGCTACACAACAGTGTGAATGTACTTAATGCCACTAACTGGACACCTAAAAATGGTTAAGATGGTAAATTGTAGGTTATGTGTATTTTACCACAATTAAAACTTTCTAAAGATTGGAAGAATAAATCACGTAGGGTCAAAACACCCTGCGGCCCTGTAGAAGGTGCCGCACTGGAGACCCCGTCTGTCGCGCCACTGGTCCGTCACAGCCCGGTGGCAGGGCTGGAGCATCCCTTGGTGGAGGGTGAGCTTTTAGAGACTTGTTATCCAGAACGTACAAGACACGTCTGTCCCACTCCGGTCTCGCACTCAGCATGGCAGGAAGGCACACTGGGCGCCAGGGAACTGAGGCCTCTGCGGAGAGCGCGGTGTCCGCCTCCCTCCGCAGCGTGCGCTGGGGCTGAGGTGGCTGGTGGCGTTGCCTGTGCTGTTGAAATCAGTGCGCATGCACAGGCACTTTCCCTGCACGGAGGTTTGTAGTAACGTGTGTGAGTAAAACGACTGCTGTGCTTGGGTCTGCGTCCTCAGGGCCTGGGTGGGGGCCGCTTAAGGAAACATTTGTTCAACTGAGATCCTTTCACGATTGGGAAAGGATCTCATGTTCTCTCCTGTTTGGCACAGAAACCAGTGTGGTTCTTGGCACAAAGAAAATGTCCCTTGAATCATTGTTGGTAGATAAGCCGGCACGACCAATGCCTCGTCCCACTGTGTGCCCTCCACCCGCCTCCTCGTCCAGCCCGTTGGCAGAGTCACTTGAGGCTCCTTTGACTGATGCGCTGGCATGGCAGATTAACCTGGCCTCGGGCCGTGGGAGATACCAGGTGTCTGAACCCCTCATCACCCTGGGACCTTCCAAACTCTACCTGAATCACAGAACAGTCCCTTCCTTTAACACTGCAGATCCATGAGGTAAGACATGCAGGCGTGTTGTCACAACCTAAATGTCCACCGGTAGGCAGCAAGTTGAATAGAGTACAATACATCCAATATCCAATAAAGCAGACACCCAATATCCAGTGTAGACGATGTCGTGGGGGAATAATGACAGGCCATGGAGTTCATAGTGTATTGTTTTGTCTAAATATGCATATGTTATTTGTCCAAATATTCGTGTAATATACATGTATATATACACACTGTGTTTGTGTGTGTCTGGTCCTCAAACCAGCAGCAGCGTTGTCACCAGGGAACTTGCTAGAAGCACGCATTCTCAGGCCCCACCTGCTGAATTAGAACCTCCGGGTGGGGGCCCAGCAGTCGTGTTTCGACAGCCCCCGGGTGGTTCTGCCACAGGCCCGACTCTGAGAAGCCCTGGCTCAGGGCCTTCCTGACGCCCTGTCCTTTCTGCCTGTGTCTTCCCAGGCCCTCATCCAGCTGCCCCCCTATATCTCTCAGTGTGACGAGGTGCTGCAGTTCTTCGAGACGAGGCCTGAGGACCTGAATCCCCCCAAAGAGTAAGTTGGTTTGCGGACCTCCCCAGAGCGCCCTCACCGCCTCCCTTCTGCCGGGCCGGCCCGGGAGGAGTTGGAGGGAAGCAAAGTGAGAATTAAACTGGATCCCGCGGGCTGAGCCTTCGTGTAGCCCTCGCAGTCGCTGTAAGTGGGTAACGATGGCGGAGTTCTAGAGGGGAAGAAGCTGGCCGAGTGTCACTCCTGGAGTCCCCGAGCACGCTGCACTCACCCGAGCGTGTTGGCACTAAGACTGAGCCCAGGAGGCAGGGGCTGTGTGGTGACTCGTCTCGGGGCCTCGTCCACGAGGGGCGATGTGCTCAGGACTTTAGGGATGTGAATGAATGAGTGACCGAAACCTGCTCAAGGTCCCCTCACTAGTGAGTGACGGGACCAGGATTTGATCCTGGTCAGCCGGGCTCCAAAGCTGTCCAGAATGTCCACGCAGCCCCTGCCTCCCTCTTTCTTCTCCCTGCACAGACGGCGAGCTCTCCCAGATGCCTGTCAGTGCATATCCCCGGCTGCCCGGTGCCCATCACACCAAGCTCAACACCCCCTGCCTGCCGGCCCTTCCAGACCAAGAGCTGATAGCACCAGCAGCCCTGCCAGCATGAAACACTGACATACATGCACAGAGACTTTATAAAAGCCCCTTTTGGGGAAAGACAATCATATTTGTCTGCAGAAAGAAGGGATCTGGCTAATGGAGAAATCATAATTGGAGGAGGACACCAGCTCACTCGCTGGTGCTGGGGCCCTCCTGGGGTCACAGGAGCAAGAGCTGCTGGGGTTTGGGGTCCATTTGGGCCCCATCAGGAAGGGCTGAGAAGTGCCAGCCTGGCTGTGTTACGGGAGAAGTGTGAGTCCCAGCTCTGACCTCAGCCTGTCCCCACACAGCGCTAGGAGCCCAGGCCTATGTTTGCTAAACAGGTGCCGTGTGCTGAGCACGTGGCGTATGTTGAGCTAGAAAGGCTCCTGTTGCTTGTTGGAAATAAGTCTGTTAAAGTCACAAAGCTTATCTTTAAATAGACCCGTAAGGAGAAAGCATCAAAGAGTTTTGACAAGTGAAATCAGGCCGTTTATATATACACAGCAATGTGCAGAAGCAAGTTCAGAGGTCACAGATAGTTGATCCCTCAGGACTAATGGTTTAGCTACACAAAGATGAGTAAACTTAACTTTCTGCAATAAGCATGTTCCAGTAAGTACCGTTTCCTGTGACAAGCACGGAGTGCGGGCACACAGCTTCTCAGAGCCAGCACGCAGAAGTGCGGCTTTAGAATTAAGGAAGACGTTCCATAAGGGATAACAGGAGACTTTTTGAATCAGAACCTCACAAGGGAATGTCTTCCCAACATGTGAATTAAAAAAAAAAAAAGATACAGAATAGGTATAAATCCGACAATGAGCCTTCAGCCCGGCCTGGCTAAGGTTTCTGTTCTTGCTGTTTTTAGCATTTGTGTCTAGACATTCCCCAACTTTTATCAACTTAACAAGAAATGGTGAAATATTCTCAAAACACCTTTGTCTACAGTCTTCCTGGCTTCCTGGTCAAACTGCCACCTCAGGCTTGTAGCCTCTGGCTTCAAGTCTAATTTCTAGGCGAGGCCAAGCAGACTGATGCTGACAGTGTTCAGTTTCCACTCCGTTCTCTCACAGAACTGCCGGGCAGGAGCTGTCGTTCCCATCATACAGATGAGGAAGCTGAGGCTCAGAATAGCGAAAGAGGCTCGCCCAAGGCCATGCGGTTTGGAAGAGGTGGGGGGAGATTTCCCCAGGTCTGCCCGAGCCTGGACCTAGGTTCTTTGCAGCCTGCACGTGTCCCTCCCAGGCTCGAGAGAAAGGGCCTGGTTTGCGACTGGAGACACCTGGGTTCAAATCCTGCCTCCACCACTCATGGGCTGCACAACCCTGGGCCTCCCTCACTTCGCCTCTGGGCCTTGATTTCCCCCCATGAGAAAAGGGGATGGCATCACACTTTTAGGCTTACGGTGAGGATTAAAGGGCCGCCATAAGTAAAGATTCCAAGGACTTGCCAAGTGCTCGGAAGTGTGGCCTGTGGTGTTTTTCCTCTCTGACCGCCCAGCCAGAGCTGTTTTTACTCCAAGAGTCGATCAGGGTGTCCAGCTCGACAGATGCGTGGCAGGGGAATTGCCCGACTGCTTCCAAGCTGGATGCACGAGGGCAGTGCTCGCCCCGTGCCTCCGTCTCCTCTTCTGTGAGGTGGGCCTGCTGACACCTCCCTCGTAGCCGTGCCTGGGCGTCAGTGGAAGATGTACAGAGAAGCGCTTGGCAGGTGCTCTACAAACCTAGCCTAGTGTCCTCGGGCAGAAGGAAGGAGGAACCCCAGCCCCCTGAGGGGGGACCTGAGCTTGGTGTGAGTTCCTTGGGCCACGGGGTTCAGTGACATCTAGATTTTCTCCTACGTCATCCCAGTGTCCCAAGGATCTTAACTTTGGGGGCGTCACAGACCTTGGAGAATCTAGTAACAGCCTTCTTCCTTCTCCTGGGAAAAATGCCCCCAGTTTCAGGAGGTCCTCAGTTGTGCCAAGTCATGGACCTAAGGTTAAGAACGGTGCCCTGGCGCCCCTTCTGAATGTTAATGCCAGGAGGTCTCTGGTCTCCTGCCCGGCGAGGGTGAGTGAAGTGGGTCCCCAGCCTCTGAGCTCAGACCGGCTTGTGGACACAGATGGGAGAGAGCTGGGCTAGGGGCAGCCCGCTGTGAGCAAGAAGAGTCTGGGCATCTTCAGGAAGGAAGGAAGGATTCTCAGGGATACAGGGTGGGAACCGGCCCTGGAGAGGAGCTGGGATGTTAGCTGGGCTGTGCGATGGCTTTGTCACGCTCTCTGGTGGCCACGACCTGGCTTTCCCTGCTTGCTGGCTGACGTGGGCTCGTAGAAGAGCGCAGGACCAGGAGTTCTAGCCCTGGTGCTACTCCCAGCCAGGAGTGCCGGCATCTTGGTCCCTTGGGCACCCAGGTGTCAAGGGCATCGTGTTTGATAATTCAAAGAATAGACCTTTCCCCCCAGTTCCCCAGAGTTTTACTCTGATGCTTTTAAGGAGCATCCATTTCCTCACTTATTAGATGGGAATAATGCTAATACCTACTTGTCAGGGTCACGGTGAGGCTTGTGTATATAATGTGGGAAAGACTTAGCACAGAGCCTGGCGCATAGTAGGTACACAGCCAGCTTTCACAGCTCCTTGGAGCCAGCTTTCACAGCTCCTTGGCTGTCAGGGTCAAGACGCTCGGGTTTTGCCGTCTTTCGTGAGACAGTAAAAGAGAAGCTAATTGGCCTGTTTGATTTATTGTAAGTCTCTGGAAGCAGTGGGTACCACGTGGAGACGCTTGTTCCCATACGGGAAGGGAAGACCAGAGTCTTTCTTCGCAGGCCTTCCAGATGGCTCTCCCTCCCCCTACGTCTTAGGCAAAACCCAGCAAAGGCAGGGTCAGCTCATTCAAATGCCTTCATTCTGGAAGCATTTCCCGCAACTGCCACCCACGCTGAACCCGAGAAAATCTGCCCAGTTCCTGCCTTCCGGTGGCCTGAGGGCTGGTGCGCGTTTGTTGAGCTGGAAAAGAGTCAAGCTGGTTGGTGTGAGAGAGTAAAAGGCTTGACTCCACAATAACCATAGTTGGAAGGGAAATGTATCTTTGCTCATTATTTTCTGTTGATTTTACTGTTTTTATTATTAGTTAGTGTAGGCTCTTTAAATATAAAGGAGATTAGCCTTTCCGTATTTTTGCCTTTTATTTTGCATTTATATTTTGTTTCTAGATTTTATGAGGTATGTAAGCTTTACATTTTTGCAAAGCCAAATCTAGTCACCATTTTTCAGTTGTGACTTCTCCCATTGCGTTCAGGCGACAAAGGGCAGTCACCATTCAGACCCGAGATATTTACTTTAATTTTTTTCAAGTTGATTTGTGGTTTGAGTTTTCTTTTCTTTTAATATTTACTGATTAAATCAGAATTCATTAAAATAGAATTCATTTTGATGTATGGCGTGTGATGAGAATCTAAAGTTTTTTTCTAAAGTTGGAGCCTCTTGACTAGCTATAAGAAAACATTTTTTTTAAAGATTGACACCTGAGCTAACATCTGTTGCCAGTCTTCTTTTTTTTCTTCTTCTTCTTCTTCCCCCCAAAGCCCCCCAGTACATAGCTGTATATTCTAATTGTAGGTCCTTCTGGCTCTACCATATGGGGTGCCACCTCAGCATGGCTCAATGAGCGGTGTATAGGTCCACGCCCAGGATCTAAACCCATGAACCCCTGGGCCCCTGAAGCAGAGTGCGTGAACTCAACCACTATGCCACAGGGCCGGCCCCTATAAGAAATGTTATTGCTCCCTGCTTCATTGAAAAACAAAGACCACCACACCCTGTAGTGCTTAATGATCACTGGCCGTTCTTCCTCGGGAAGGATCCAGAGAAAACTAGCTCCTGTGCTCAGGAGGCCTCTACACTGGTGAGAAAGGCTGCGTGAACACATGGATACGTGTGTGCGTGCATACTCACGCACATACACACAAGTAGAACATCCGCTAAAAATAAAAAACACAGCCTAGACTGTACCAAAGAAAGCAGAAAGAGCTGAGGTAAGCTGACCAGCATCCTGCTGGAGTGGAGCATCTGGTTCCAAGAGGCTTCCTGGAAGCAAGGGGAAGGTTCTAGTCTCTCTGTCCTTTCCCCACTGTGTGGCCTTGAACAAGTGACTTGACTTCTCTGAGCTTCTGTTTCCTCATCAGTAAAGGGGGCACAGCTGACCTTGCTCGCATCTTAGTTGCGAGGATTGAGCACCGTCCTCTCACCTGGGATCGTGCCTGGCACACGGCAGCTGCTTCCCCAGCGATGCCTTCCTGGCTTGAAGCCAGGCTGTGAAGGGGAGGAAGCAGGGAAGGTGAGAACGCTGCCGAGGGCCGAGGGGCGGCTCTGGGGCCACAGCAGGCAGGCTCAGTGGGTCCTGGGTTGTTGGCTTAGAGGAATGGACATCGAGGTTGGCTGCTCGGTGGGGTTGGTTCCTTGGTCCTGAAGCTCGTGCCCCAGTGAGGGCTTGAGATGGAAGTTGGGGTCTTGCCCAGCAATCTCTAGGGAGAGAAGTGATGACTTCTAAATGGTGCCGTTCGGGGAAGGTCTTCGCTGCCGTGCGCAGAAAACTTGGGACCACCTGAAGCCTGTCACACAGAGAAGATGCTGTGCGTGCTTGAGCCCACACGGCTGCTGCCGCTTGAACCCAAGAGCCCCCTGCCGCCCCTAAGCCCCCTCCAGCTGGGACAGCGGGACCCTGCAGGGCGTGTGGCAGGGCAGGAGCCGGGACTGTGGGTGGCCCGGAGTGTCTCGGCTGCAGGCCTGGATGGCAGCTGGGGAAGTGGCGCTTCGTGTTGAAGCAACTTCCAGGGACCTTTGTCCGTGTGTCTTGGAGCCAGCAGCTGAGAGGGGAACTTCACCCACAAGACGGTGCAGGGTGCGGTCAGGGGCACGGGCTCCAGGCGGGCTTCCTGGGTCCCGATCCTGGGCGCGCTTCTTCACCTCTCTGGGCCTCAGTCTGCAACATGGAGTGGCCCTCGAGGGCTGTTGTGAGGACTCAGTGCATCACGCCAGGTACAGCACTCTGATGGGCCACTGGACAAAGTGAGCGCCAGTAAAGGGGAGCGAGGGTAGTCCACTGTTACCTTCCCCCACACAGGGGCCAGGACGTTTAACCTCACTGGGTAAGGCATCACGACCAAAGGACCCAGCCCAGCCCTGGGCCAGGCCCCGCTGCTCCTCCCCAGACGCACAGGAGCACCACCCCAGACTCCAGGGGTTGGCTCAGCTCCCCCACCCTCTCCCAAGGCTACACTGAAAGCATTATTATATGGTGGTTAATAACCCAGACTTTAAATCAGACACTGAGTAGACATTTCTCCAGAGAAGATACACACGTGGCCAGTAAGCATATGAAAAGATGCTCAGGGGTCAGCCCTGTGACCTAGTGGTTAAGTTCAGTGTGCTCCACTTCTGCGGCCTGAGTTTGGTTCCCAGGCGCAGACCTACACTCTCAGCGGCCATGCTGTGACAGTGACCCACATAAAAAAAAATATAGAAGATTGGCACAGATGTTAGCTCAGGGCACATCTTCCTCAGGAAAAAAAAAACAAGAAAAGATGCTCAACCTCATTAGCCATCAGGACATGCAAATCCAAACCACAGTGAGATACCACTTCCCGCCCACTAGGATGGCTAGAATAAGAGAGACAGACAGCAACAAGTGTTGGTGAGGATGTGGACAAATTGGAACCTTCCTACGTTGCTGGCGGGTATGTAAAACAGTGCAGCCTCTGTGGAAGAGAGCCAGGCAATCCCTCAGATGTTAACCTCGAGTTGCCATGTGACCTAGCAACCTCCTACACAAATACCCAAGAGAAATAATCATCTATGTCCACATAAAACTTGTGTGCAAATGCTCATGGAAGCATTACTCAAAAAGTGGCAGCATCCCAAATGCCCATCAGCTGATGGGCAGACAAACAAGGTGTGGGTTTTCCACACAACGGGACGTTATTCAGCCCTAACAAGGACTAGAATACTGATACCTGCTGCATAAAGGGGCCTTGAGAACTTTATGCTACATCAAAGAAGCCAGTCACGAAAAGCCCCCTCTTGCGTGATTCCGTTTATAGAAAATGTCCAGAATAGACAGATCATTATGACAGCAAGCAATCAGTGGTTGAGAGGAGTGGGGATGGGAGTGACTACTAGTGGGTATAGGGTTTCTTTTTGGAGTGATGAAAATTTCTGGAATTAGATAGTTGTGATGGTTGTACAACCTTGTGCATAGACTAAAAGCCAGTGAATTGTACACTTGAAAAGGATGAATTTTATGGTATGTGAATTATATCTCAGTTTAAAAATTAGACCTGAGTTCAGGTCCTAGCTGTGTGACCTTGAACAAGTTACTTAACCTCTCTGTGCCTCATCCTCCTCCTCTGTAAAATAGACATAAAAAGAGTACTTGTTTCTTAGGGTCATTATGATAGTAAATGAGTGAACTAGAAGTGCCTGGCAGGGTACTGGCACGGGGTAGTAGCATTTAATGATTACCAACTAATGTTGCTGTTGGCACACCTGCCTCAGCCCAGCCTCCTGCCACCTCCCTTTTCTCTTTATAACACTGGAAGGCTTTTCACTAATGAGATAATTTGCTTAAAAGTACTTCATAAACCTGATTTGTCACACTGTATTCGTAGTCCGGTTGTATTTATAAACTCTGGAGTGGTTGACACATGTGAGGCAGTCACTAGTTGTTGTTCCATGTGGATTCTGGTTGTGTCCCTCGTGTCACCAGTGCGAGATGTGCTGTGTTCTCTGCTATCTGGACTTCTCCGCTTACCGCTTACCACCGAGGGCCGTGAGGGCTCACAGGACCCAGGAAGTGGGCTTCAGGCTCAGGGCAGTGTGGGGGCCTGACTCCATTTTCACACTGCATGCTCCCCTCTCCCCACCCCACCCCTCTCAGGGCCCTGAGGGGAGGTGCTGGTCCCCAGGGCGCCAGAGCACTTATCAGACAAAGGGAGAAAATTAAGAGGAATTGTTTGTTTTTTAAGAAGTCTGGCTCCTTGGGGCTGGCTTTGGTTTTGTTCATTCACTGGAGATGTTGTGGGTTGGAGAATCTCAGTTTCCTAAAGGAATGACTCCTGTCAACACACAACAGGTCTGACTCATCACTCTTTCTCACCCCCATTCTTTCCTGTACAGGGAGCATGTTGGGAAGAAGAAATCCGGTAAGAATACTTTCCATTTTCTCCTGTTCACTCAGTGCTCAGCATACCCCTGGGAGCACCTTCGATGCGCCAGGCCCTGGGCACTATGTTGGGATACAGCTATGTGTGTGGATGGATGCATGAGTGGATGGATGGGTGCATGAGTGGATGGATGCATGGATGGATGCATGAGTGGATGGATGGGTGCATGAGTGGATGGATGCATGGATGGATGCATGAATGGATGGATGGGTGTATGAGTGGATGGATACATGGGTGGATGGATGCGTGGATGGATGCGTGGATGGATGGGTGGATGCTTGATTGGTTGATGCCCCACTCTGTTTCCCGAAGAAAGCGTTGGAGGTTGTTTCATCTTGTACCTAAATGTTACCCAGTGCGTGAGAGCTGGTGTCCATCCCTGAGAATGCCCCAGTGGTATAGGGGGACAGACAGCTTCCTAACCATGCTGTAGGGTGTTAAATGGCTTTGTTCTGCTTTAGACAAAGGAATGTGGGAGCTCAGAGCTAACAGCATTCTTCTCAGGTGGCGAGAAGGGGTCACAAAGCAGGGACCATGGGTCTTGAAGAGTGCGCAGGAGCCTCATAGACAGGGAGGAGCATTCAGGGCTAAGGGTGCAGCACGCAGGCTGGGAGGTGTGAATACACAGTAAGTCACGCCGACCGATTGGCCGTCCTCAGCACCAGGCCCACCTCCACACTGCCTTCACTCGGCCACGGTTCTGGGCAGTGACAACTGCTGTTTCGGGCACCTCCCATACTCACTTCCACTCTCCCCGAAGTCAGCTCTCTTCCTTCTTGACACTCTTCCCGTTCCCGGGACATCACAACCCTTCATCAAGAGCCGTTATGGAAAAAGAGAAGGTGGGAACTGGGTGTGCACAGAGGGACGATTGCCTTCTCACAGGCCTGCGGTCGATACATGGAGATTCACAACCACCTGACTTTTTCTTCCCAAGACCCAAGGTCGTCCCCACATCTGCAGCCTGCCTAGCCCTACCACACCTGGAGCCAGCGTGGTCTTCAGAGCTTCCGGAATTCTAAGTTCTTTTATTTACCTGGGTCTCCAGGAAGTTTGAGGGGGTTGATGAGCATGTGGGGAGAGGGGAGCCGAGCAGAGATTCCAGAAGTGAAAAAGGGCCTCTTCTCATGGGCCTCAGTTCCCTCATCTGTAAAATGGGGATAACAACAGTAATCCACCCTGTAGGATTATTATAGGATTTGTAATAATAATATGTATAAAGCCCTTAAAACAGAGCCCCAAATGTCGTGAGGGAGATAGGTTTGCTGCAGTTTTTATACTACTGTTAATTCAAAGGACATAGGTGTCCCTGACCAGCGTCAGTAGCAATTCCAAATTCAGCAGCTCTGGTCCCTTTGCTGGCCCCTGGGTACGAGGCCTGTGGTCAGCTTTACGGGCCCAAGGGCCGGTCTTGCAAGGAAGAGTGGAGAGAAACTGGGTCTCTGCCTCAAGGCGTGGCATCTGAAACGAGTTCCAGCCTTTCCCAACCGGGCTATTTACAGCTCTGCCTGCTGTTTTGATAGGTGCTGGCCGGAGCCATGGCATCCTGCTAAAGCTGCAAATAGTCCTTGAGCCCTGGGGGTAATGACATGTTTCTTAGAAAAGAGCAGAGAGGAGAGGAGCGGCCCTTGGGCTTGATGAGGGGACTGGTCTGGAAAGGAGAGCAGAAGCTCTAATTTGTGGTGACCACTGTTACCTCATTCACCTGCAGTGAGCGAGACGGATTCATTTATAGTTCTGCTGCTCGGAAAATAGCATCTCTCTTCATTCAGACTAAGAGCCCATGCTGGGGTTAGCCTTATTTTTAATCTGACCTTTGAACACTTCCTTTATGTTAGAACCAGGCTTCTTGATTGAATTTAAAGGGAATTAAGGTTGACAGCCCGAGCCCTGGAATTCTGTGCCAGAACTCTGAGTTGGAGAGGGCTTATCTGTCTGCAGAATTTCCCAGTGGCTGGCTGGCTGGCTGGCTGGCTGACTGGCTGGCTGGCTGGCTCCTGCAGACTTTGGCTAATGTGGTCTCAAATTCTGCTCATCCTGCAGGAAAGAAATCCTCCCACCAAAATTTAACAGGTCATGAGATTATTTAAGGAGCATCTTTCTTCCTGACTTTTCTATGCTTACTGAAGTATTCTCTCATTTACTGACTCTTTCAGCAAAACTGGCAGTCTGGTGAATTGCTAGAAAGAAAATCCTACTTTACCATTATTCCTTGTATTATTCAGCTCGGGCTGCCGTGGCAAAATAGTATAGACTGGGTGGCTTAAACAGCAGAAGTGATTTTCTCCCAGTTTGGAGGCTGGCCATCTGAGGTCAGGGCGCCAGCACGGCCGGGCTCTGGCGAGAACCCTCTTCCTGGCGTGCAGAAGCCGGCTTCTCGCTGTGCGCTCCCATGGCGGAGAGACAGCGAGAACAGGCTCTCTGGGGTCTCTCCTTATAAGGGCGCCAATCCCATCCCACCGGGGGAGGGGGGCGTAGTCATGGGGACCCATGGGGAAGGGAAGCACACTGGCCTCAGACCACCTTCTCCGTCATCTCTTCTTTCCTTTCACACCCGCTGCCACGCGCCACTGCACAGGAGTCTTTGAGCCAGGTGGACCTGATTCAAGTCTGGCTTTGTCACCAACCAGCTGTGGGATCCAGGACAAGTCACTTGATATCTCTGCACCTCTGTTGTTGTCTATAAAGTGAGGGTGGCAGTACCACCTTCCAGGGCACTGTGTTGAGGTGGTCTGTGTGTTGTGCAGCCTGTCGCAGGCTTTCACGTGGGGCTGCTTCCCTGCCCGCCTTCCGAACCTCGTCCGACATCTTCTGTCTCTTTCCTCCCTTCTCCTTCTCTGTTCTGCTCGTGTTCTCCCCACCCATGCAGGGTGCAGGGTTGTCCAGGGGCCCTCCCCAGGTCAGGCGCCCTCCCATTTCCCTCCGTTACCCTCAGCCGGGAAGGGTGAAGGGCCAGAACATGGTCACAGAGCCGAGAAGTGGTGACCCCCCCCCCCACCCAGCTACAATGCCCTGTCTGGTTCTCCACGTCACACACTGAGAGCTCCTGGTTCTGACAAAGGGCATTTGTGCTGCTTCTGCATGCCAGAGGCTGGGGTGCAGTGGTGTGCTGGTATAACTGCTTCCCACCCAGCTCTCTGATGGAAAGCCCTGCTTTGTAGCATTTGCCCATTTCCGTGGTATAAATGCTCCCACAGTGGCCAGTTTCAAGCTACGAGTAAGACGCCACCCAACAGAGTTGGGAAGAGATGCACAGAATCGGCTCAGCGTGAGCGACTCGTGCATACCACTCCACTGCTGGGCGTATCCGGACGCAGAAATGTGGGGTTTCCTGGATCTTACAGTTGTTTGTGGAAATAATAGGAGGGAATATTTTGAATCAGGACTTTCAGAAAACCAGGCCCTTGTGGCCACAAATGTCAGGCTGCCCTTCCACCGCTTCCAGCCTGCTGCTCTCAAAGTGCTGTCCCCTGCTCTTTGAGTGCTGAACTCAGGTGGCCCCTCTACATTACCCGGATTCTGCACTATCTTTCATTTATGTATCAGCTATGTCCTGGTGCCAAACCAGGACCTCACAACTCCAGGGAGCGCCATCCACACTGCGTCCTGTGGACGCGGCCTCTCCTGGAGTGCCTGTCCCTGCTGCCCGTGCCCTGGTCCAGAGCTGCCGTCCTCTCTTGCCTGACAACTCTGTGGCCTCCATCTCATCTCCTGCTTGCTTTCTTGCCAGTCTCTAATCCATTCTCCTTGTGGCAGCCAGGATTATTTTTTTAAAGATGTAAATCTTCACTTGCCGTTCCCTTCTTAGAGCCCTTTAGTGGCTTTCTACTTCAGGTTAAAAAAAAAATCCAAACTTCTTGCCTTGCCCAGCAGGCCCTGCCTGCTCTGGCCCATGCCCCCTCTGTGACCTCACGCAGGACCACTCTGTCCTCACTCACTGGGCTTCAGCCACCCTGGCCTCCTTCCAGTTCCTGGAAGACTCCAAGCCCTTTCTCATCTCAGCATCTGCCAGCACTGTTCTTTTCCCATTCTCCTCATGACTCCTTGTGTCTCAGGTCTCTGTTTATGTCATCTCCTTAGGTGGTCTTGCTGACCACCCCATTAAACATAGCAGCACTTTTTCTTGTTTATTCTTTGTCTGGCATCCTGGTTGTTTCCCATAATGCATCTGTTAAAAATTAATACTCATCTTACCCTATACACTTAGTGATGATATATACTAGTGTATGTGTCTGTCTCCCCAACTAGATTAAGTTACTTGAGGCTGAGAATCATATCTGTTTCATTCATTGTAATACCCCAAGCACCTCATAGAGTGTCTGGAACATCATTGTTGACTTCATGAATTAATAGATGGGTGATTTTGGGTGGATGGATGGATGGATAGATGATGGATGGATGTTTGGTTAGATGAATGGATATTTAGTTGGATGGATGATAGATGGGTGTTTGGTTGGATGGATGGATGACAGATGGATGTTTGGTTGAATGGATGATGGATGGATAGATGTTTGAATGGATGGATGGATGGATGTTTGGTTGGATGGATGATGGGTGAATGAATGAATGGATGGATCAGTATGAATTAATGAACTCTCCCACTAGGCTGTCAGCTTGTGCAGGGCAGGTCCCATATCTTAATCAGCCCTTAACCCCCAGTGCCTAGCACAACACCTGCACAGAACAGGAACTTAGTAAATGTTGATGGTTGAGTGAGGAAATGAATGAAAGAATGGATGGATGGGGGGACTCTGAGACAAGTCTTGTGACGACATCTTTCTCTATTTGGAATGTCCTCCTGACCCACCCTACTCCCCCAGCTTCTCTCCTTCACACATAGGTGGTGGCCAGATGTGACATCTGATAGGGTTTTGTATCCACAGGGGGTGACCTCACCTCGGTGGACCCCATGGTCCTGGAGCAGTATGTGGTAGTGGCAGACTACCAAAAGCAGGAGAGCTCGGAGATCAGCCTCAGCGTGGGGCAGGTGGTGGACATCATCGAGAAGAATGAGTCAGGTAGGGGACCTAGACCGACTCCCTCCCCGCCCTCCACTGTCACCAAGCCCCTGGGACAGGAAACACTTGGAAATGCAGAAATTGCAATAGCCAGTCCAGGCTGGCCAGTTTCCACAGATCTGGCTGATGACCTTCTAGAAAGCTACCCCAGTTTGATCACAGTGCTCGAATATCCCACTTGGTCACAACTCGCTGGCATCCTGTTGGGTCAGATATTACTGATCTATTCTGAGGTTCACATTTCATGAACATTCCTTCTGCCTTCAAAGCACTTGGAGACACGGAGTCCAGCATTCCACTGGAAATTGGCTGCTGATTTGCTTTGACTACCATGAGAATCTTGGTGAAGGCTCCATCAGCTGTGAGTTCTGGTAGGACAGACACACTGCCTCAGCCCAACTGCCATCACAGGGACCACTGGTCCTGTACACAGGCCAGCACAGAATGCAGTATGATCTGGACACTTTGCCCAGCTTTCCATCTGAATTCCCCATTTCACAGCCATCCAAGTTGCTTCGTCAAGGTTGATGCTTCAAAGATTAATTGAGATAATACGTAGACAGCACCTAAACCTGTGTTTGGCACACAGTAGGTGCTCAAAAATGTGGGTTTCTTTCCCTTTTGCCTCCCTTAGCCACAAATCAGCCGTTGCACCATTGACGGCGAAGAGCAGGAAGCAGGGGATGAGTGGAAAGGAAAAAGTGGTATAAACCCACTGGCTTTGTTATGGCTCACGTGTGACATTGGCTAATAATATCATCAGCGGGCCAATCTCTGTGATACCCCAGTGGCTAATTAAGGTCCAACAAATAGAAGAAAGACTATGTTTCCAGCAACATTTGGATCATGTTGCCATTAGTCATGAGATCGGTATTAGCCAACCAAAAGTCCTTAATTACACAATGTAGGAACTCTCACCCTGCTTCTCAGCTGGAGAGACCAGGACTCTGAGTGACTTGATCGCTCACTCAAGATCTTGCAACAGGTTGCCAATGTGGAATTCCAAACCAATTCCAGCTGGCCCTAAGGCATGTGACTGCCTAATTCCTGGGATTGAGTACATGCAGATTATGTGGGGTGGCTAGGATGCACCGTGGGGACTAAAGAAGGGAGCGCCCACTCCCCTGGGCCGCTTGCTTGAGTGAAGTCAGGACGAATGTCCTGCCAAGAGGAGTCAGCATGGGTTGCTGGGGACAGGCCTGGTATGTCCAGAGGGCAGCAGCGAAAAAAAGTGTCACAAGGTCAAATGTTCAAATGGCCAACAAACTGGCAACATTTATTTTTAATTATATTTTACTTACCCAAGTAATGCATGGATACATTCTTCTTAAAACCTAATGATAAAATTAGCATCTGTTTCTTCTACTAGCTTCAACCCTAGCCTCCTTTCCAAACCCCAGATAGCTCTTCTGTCGGTTTGATATGAATCCTTCTTGTTAATTATATACACACACCATGTGTGTGTGTGCGTATACATATGCATATATACACACATACATATAAAAACATACATACCTGTAGATATGCACACACACATATTTCATGTGTATATATATAATTTTGTAGGGTTTTTAATCCTGGTGGTATCATTCTAAACATTTTGATCTGCAGCGTGCTTTTGTTTTAATCAACATTTAGCTCTTATTCTTTTAACATCTGTATACTGTTTGACCTGAATAAGCCATATTTTTCTCTAGTTTGAACAGTTACTCTGTGTGCACACTGGTGAGCGTTTCTTTAGATTAGATACCAAGAAGTGGAACTGCTAGACCATAAGATACTCCTATTTTAAATGTTAAGGTACTGCCAAATTACCTGCTTCCAAACTGTGGCCATGCCGCTTGGCTCTCCCTCCGGCAATGCCCGTGGCAGTGGTACACATGGCTAAGAGCTGAGGCTGTGACGCCAGCCTGTGTTCAGATCCTGGCTCCACCACTTTCTCTCTTCGTCGCCTTGGGCAGGTTGCCGCCCTCTCTGAGCCTCGGCCTCCTCGTCTGTAAAATGGGGCAGTGATAGCACGCAGCTCATAAAGCTGTTGTGAGGATCCGGTCAGTAGTGGGGATGAAGCAGTGGGACAGTCTGGCATGTCGTTGCTGTCATTGCTGTCATGACAATTTTCTTCTCCCCCACACAAACACCTGCAAATACGAGTCCTTAGGAAGGCATACAACATATTTTCTGATTCCTGATTTCCCACGGATTTATCAACCCCGTTCATTCTCACACGCCCAAGTTGCCGGTCACCACAATGTGTCTTTGACAAGGAGCATCTGGTCAAGTAAAGCAGAGGTGGCTTCCGTTTCAGGGAGGTCAGAAGCGAAGCCCTTGCTGTAGGACCCGGAAGCTTGCTCAAGAACCTGCCCCTTCCTTCTCCTCTCCTTTGGGGTCTCCAGGGCTTGGAGGTGTGATTTTGGGGAGCAGATCCTGTTTGTTCCTCTATGTTGTGCAGAGCCATTGGGCTCTGTGTTAATTTCCTCTTGCTGCTGTAATCAATTACCACAAATTTAGTGGCTTAAAGTAACACAGATTTACTAGCCTACAGTTCTATCGGTCAGCGTCCAAATGGGTCCCAACGGGCTAAAATCCAGGCATTGGCAGGGCTGCGTTCCCTCCTGCACGTTCTGGAAAGGATCTGTTTGCCTTTTCCAGCTTCTCGAGGCCGCCCACATCCCTTGGCTCGTGGCCCCTTCCTCCGGCTTCAAGGCCTGCAGTGTAGCACCTTACTGTGCCTTTCTTCCAGGGCCACGTCTCCCCACTCTTCTTCTGCCTCTGTTTTCCACATCTCAGGGCCTTGTGGTTACATTGGGCCCACCCAGATAATCCGGGATAATCCCCTATTTGAAGTTCAGCTGGTTTGCAGTCTTAATCCCGTCTGCAGCCTTCATTCCTCTTTTCCACATAACTTAACGCATTCACGGGTTCCAGATTAGGACGTGGACGTCTTTGGGGGTCATTATACTGCCGCTACAGGCGCCTTCAAGCCGTTTCTCTAAGGAGGAAGGGCCTGAGTCTGGGTGAGAGTTCTCTCAAGCAGTTGCATCTGCAGCCAGACTTACCTCGACATGAACACATGCAAAATCAGTGTCCCCCATAAGTTATTAGTGGAGTGGCTTCAGTGCCAGACAGCCATGGGTGCACATCGCAGCTTGGCCACAGCCGTGAGAACTTGAACAGTCTGCTCACCTCTTGGAGCTTCAGTTTCCTCATCCGTGGGGTGGGCATGACACGTGAAGATCATACGAGATAATGCGAGTGAAGTGAGGAGGGCCTCGCGCCTTGGTGAGGGGAGCTACGTCCTGTCCTCTCGTCATTCTGGACGGCCCTTCTCTCCCTGTCCAGACTCAGAGCGGGTTTCTCATTAGCCTGCCTTTGCCCGTTAGCAGTCAGCTGACGTGGGTGGCTGTGTTCCACCAACTGAATGGTGTCTTTTCAGCTCTGCCCTGAGCATTGACTCGCGTAGTGGCCGCATGAAGATATCGCTCAGGCCTCACCCTGGCCCGGCTGACATCTGTCTGCTCTCTCGTTTTCCCAGGTTGGTGGTTCGTCAGCACCGCTGAGGAGCAAGGCTGGGTCCCCGCCACCTGCCTCGAAGGGCAGGACGGTGTGCAAGATGAGTTTTCCCTGCAGCCTGAGGAAGGTAGGCTGGAGCTCGAGCCTCCACCGTGCTGGGAGCCGGCCATCGCCCGGAGCGGCCTCCTCACCCGGCCCCTCCCCTCAGCCTCTGCCTCCGGGTCTCAGCAGCTCGCTGGCTCAGGCTCTGGAGCCCATGGACCCGAAGCCAGGCCGTGGGGTGGGGCTAACGGCAAGTCCGCCCTCTCTTAGGGGCCGTTGGGAGCCACGCAAGGCAATCCTGGCTGGAGGTGGGGCTCTGGCACCTCCATGGGACCCCACTATTCCTCCCTTGAATTATTCTGATGGCCAAGATGCTGGGGCTGCTTCTGGCTCATTTTCAAGACATCTGAAGCCATCTGTAAGATCTCTGCTCTCTCTGTTGGTTGAGTGGCCTGACTGGGTGTCAGGATTGGGGCTGACCCCCACCCTTCACCCACACGCTTCCATGTCCTGGAGAACTTTCCCTTCATGGGCCCCAAGCGGGGATTCCTGCCGTCCCAGAAATACTAAGGCCCAAATGACTCCCTTTCCTCCCAGAAGCATTCCTAAAACCAGAGTAAGGGTTCATCTTAGCCAATAAACAGAAAGGTTTTAGAGCCAGACAGATGTGAATTTGCATCTCAGCTGTACCACTTACTGGCTGAGTCATCTTGGGCCAGCAGCTTAACTTCTCTGTGCCTCAGCCACCTCCTCTAATAATGGAGACGTTGATCTCTACATCATGGGATTGTGTTTTTTTTAATGAGATCCCATATACAGAGCACTTGGCAAAGACCCCAAACAATAAATAAGTAGGAGCAGTTACTGTCATTTGGCTGTGCCTTACGTGGGGTTGAATACTTGGGGCTTTTAGTCGAATGTTTTGAGAAAGAACAAAGCCACTTTAAGTATATGTTTATCGGAAAAGAGGGTGAGAAGAAGGGGGATCTTTCTGTGCTCAAAAGGTCAGCAAAAAATGTGTATGTGGTTTGGTATTTAGTTTGTTTTGGCCAGCACCCCTCAGAGTGAATCATCTGTTGCTTTGCTCTGTTTGTGGGGCCCACCAGCACGAGGGGCTGGGCTGAAACGGGATACTTCAAGAATCAACTCGAGTCAGGGGTGGTGGGGTACTGTGTGGAACCCTAACTCCCTGAGACAGTTATGATGACCACCACAGGCATGCCTCTTTAGGGGACCGATTATTATCCCCATGTTACAGATGAGGAAACAAGGTTCAGAAAGGTGAAGACACTTGCCCAGGGTTACACAGCCAAAAGGTAGGAGAGGAACCACATTTTCCTGAGGGCTTGTACATTTTTCTTCCCTCTGCTATGAGGGCTTCTCTCAGTGCCCCTAAATACGCTAGGAATAGAATTGTGTCGACTGAATGTCTCTTCACTTGAGTTTAAGGTTAATACTCAGGAACTTGGCTTTCCCAAGACACCTGGGGCTTGGCATAGACTCAGAAATAATTCCTGCTAAATGGGAATACGCACTTGGGGCCCCCTTTGCCTCAAGCCGCTGGAAGTGCTTTCCTCTCACCTCTGCCCTCTGCCCTTCGCCTCCACATGCCGCCTGTCCAGTCTCCTGGAGGTACTGGTCTTTGCCCCGGCCCGTGGGCCGCCGCCGGACACTGGGGGATTTGTATGCCGTCAGCTGGCGTCAAGGTGCCTGCCTCGGCGTTTCCTCCCCATTCGGTGTTGGGAACTGGGTCCCTGCGTCTGCATGTGCCCCCAGCTCTGGGACCGCCTGTGCCTGTTGCATGTGAGAAGCAGTGACCTCGTCTGTACCGTGTGTGCTGGCATGCGGGTCTGGGAGGAGGGAGCCTGGGGTATTTCTCAGCCTGGAGCTCTAAAATTTCCCAAGTAAAGAAATGGTCCTGGGGGCCTCTGTAATGCTGAGCCCATGACCTGTTCCTTTCATCAGGCAGGTGGCACGAGAAAGAAACCACATCAAACCAGCTTAAGCAAAAGGGGAAGTGTATTGGCTCATATTGCTGAAAGGTGCATGGTAGGGTTGGCTTCAAGCATGGCTGGATCCAGGGGCTGGAAAATGACATTAGGACCTAGGACTCGCTCTCCCCACCTCTCTGCTCTGTTTTCTACCTTGCTGGCACTGTTCTTTCATGGTGACAGCAGTTCCAGGCACTCTTCAGGGACGTCCACCAAAGAAAGTGCTGCTTCTCCAACACACGTCCTGGGATTGGTTCTGACCGACGAAGTTGGATCATAAGCCATCCCTGAACCAATCATGGTGGCCAGGGGGGGATGTAGCACTTTGGCCCGACCAGGGTCACACATCCTGCCCCTCCCTCCAGGAGGTGGTGAGGTCAGCCTCACCCAAACCATGTGGACAGAGGCTGGTAGTGCCACCAGAGAAGGGGCACATGGATGCTAACTAAGCAGGCAGTATCAGCAGGTCCCTGCCGTGCAGTCTACACAATCTCCCACCCGGAGCTTCGTTGGGGACCACAGAGCATCCCACAGAGCTCACAGGGCTTCTGAGTTCCAGACTCCGCCTGTGCAATTCAGTCGAAGGGCGTGGGCCCCGGCATCCAGGGCCTGCGGGACTGACTGCACTTACTCTAGGACCCAGGCAGCGCCCCTTCCCACCCAGCCAAACCGAGCTTCTGTGCATCCGGTGGATAGAATTACACCCTACACCCCTCCCAGCACCCACCCCACCTGCAGCGTCCGGGAGGGAAGGGTACAGTGCACAGGATATGCGCAACTTGAGTCAGCTCAGCCCCCACCGAGCAGGTCAGGAGGCTAGATCAATAAATAAATACACGCCCTGTGTGTTTTTCCGCCTCCCTCTGCACCAGCCAGGCAGGCCACAGACAGCCTGTGGTGTTTTCCCAAAGAGAGAGCGTCAACCCCGACACACCAGCCGTCACCCCAGCCCACAGCTGGCTCGGTGGCTCCCTGGGGGCTGGAATGTGAGCAACACAGGAAAGCCCCCTCCTCTCTCACTGGCCTCCCCTGGGACACGTCTCTGTTTTCCTCCGTCTCAGCAGCCAGAGCAGACGGTGTTAGGGATAGGAGCCGTTCTCTTGCTCTCTGGAGGGCCCTGCCTGAGTGAGAATGAGCAACCCTCCCAGCAAGCCTGGGCCATCAGGGGGGCTGCTGTGGGAGGGACACAGCTGGAGGCCGCTCTCTGGGAGGAGGATGGGATCGCAAAGATGGTCTCTTGGCTTTGGTAGAGGGGAGCAGAGAGTGAGATGGAAGGTACCCCAGTCACATTAGTGAAAATTGAAGCTTCAGCCTTGGTTGGATCCAGGAGCTTGAAAATAATAAATGAAAAACAAAGCTCAGTTACCACCTAGGTATGAAAAGTGCTCTCCGTCTCCTCCTTGGTGGTGATTTCAGCCTGAAACCACGTGCTGCCAAATCCAGCTCATCCCTGGGCCCCCAACCAGCGAGAACTGCAGGCCAAGGAGGGTGTAACCCCTTCAGCATGAGCACCTTGGCTCCCGCCAGGCCTTCGGGACTTGTTCATTTACTAAACATTGAGTAACTTACTAAATAGTTACTAAGTCTCCCTGGTATGAAGCCCAGTGCTGGAGACAGAGGAATGAACGAGACAGACCTAGGGCCCTGCTGCCATGGTGTTCGTGATCCAGCAGAGGAAACAGACACGAAGCACAAGAAATGAGTAAATTCTGTGGTGTGCTAGAATGTCATTCCTGATCTGGAGGAAAACATAAACCTGAATATTGCATAAGACAAGGTCAAGGCCGGTGACCTTGAAGCGCAGATTTGAGGAAGGTGAGGATGAATGTGTGATGCTGAGGGACTTCAGAGGGATCAGGACCTGCCCTTTGTCCGGTGTCCTGTTACTGTTTGCACAGGATCATCCAGGGCTAAGTGAGGGCCTGGGGGGTACACAGAAATCTCTGGAGGAAATTCTTCCCTCCGATGGACAAGGGCATCTCACAGATCACAGCCTTGGCCATCAGCATCCTGGGACTCTCAGTGACCTTGACTTACCCTATATTCCCTTGTCCCCACAGAGGAGAAGTACACAGTCATCTACCCGTACACGGCTCGTGACCAGGATGAAATGAACCTGGAGAGAGGGGCCATGGTGGAGGTCATCCAGAAAAACCTAGAAGGCTGGTGGAAGATCAGGTACCCGATACAGCTGGGTGGGATTCAGGTCATGTGGGCTCCAGCTGCAGAGAGGGCTGTAAGCGATTGCACATGGGGGGAGGTTTCAGCGTGAGTCATAAAAGGATGCTTCTCCTCTGTGCTATTTGGCTTCCCTCCCAACCCATATCCCTCTCTAAAAACCCATAATAAGCAAAACCTTCTCTAAACACACTGACCACAGATAGCAGTAACCCTGTTGAGCAAGACTGGTCTCCACCTCCAGATGTTTCTCTTAACGAGTAACTGGAGGCTGAAGCTGCCCTGTGTGAGTGAGTGGCCACTCCAGCCCTGCTCTGAGATCAGAACGGCGCATAACACCACATGGACTGTAACTCATCCTAGAGCTGATCATGTGTCCCGATCTCAGAGTCCAATCGTAAAAGCAGGAGGCTGGCATTTCAGACACCTTGTCACAGCTCTTTCCCATATGGGATGGAATCAGAACCTCAGGTGGGGTGGCTAGCTCGTCCTGCTCTGCCTGGGACTTTCCTAGGTTTAGTCATGGATGTCCTGGGAACGCCCTCCTTGGTCACCTTAATGAGCAGGCTGTGACCACAGGAAAGTGGGGCAAGGAGGAAGCGTGAGATCCTGCAGCCCGGTGTCTACACCGTGAGGTGAGGCAGGCCGTTAGGGCCACTCCCACGGGGCTGAGCATGTGGCATGTCATTCATTCATTCAACACACTCACACCAAGAATGTCCTCTGGGCCAAGCCCTGTCCAGGGTGTTGGGGAGTCAACAGTGAGAAAGACACAGCAGTTCACAGCAACGGGCACAGCAGACTGACTCTGACAGGTACAGGGAGTGACGGAGGGGTGCTTGGGCGCCTGTGGTGCACAGAAGAGGGGCTCAGCCCGGGGTCAGGTCAGGAAGGCTTCCTGAGGGAGGGGGCTTCGGAACCCAGGTTTGAAGCAGGAGCAGTGACAGTGGCACTTAACATACATTGAGTGTGTATGTTGTCTTGTTCCATAACGAAAATCCCAAAACTTAGTGGCTCCGGAATGGGGAGTGGCTTAACTGGGCCCCGGGTCCCTCCTGAGGTTGCGGTTGGACGTCAGCGAGGGCTGCAGCCGTCAGAAGGTTTGGCTGAAGCGAGCGAGTGGCAGAGCCAGCGGTTGAACCCGTGCCTTTCTCATCCTGAAGCCCACTCACCACTGTACACGCCGCCTCCACGATGACCGGGCTCATGGCGAGGGCGTGGGTTGTATGTAGCCTGACATTTTTCACTTAGCACAAGCCTTGTTCCCCTTCCGAGGGTGTTGTAAGGTTGACAGACACCAAACTACAGATTTCTATGTCCTTATAAATTTGCTTCCAGTTATAAAGGACCTTTTTATCATTGAAAAACAACACTATTTAGTTGTTAAAGTGATTCTTGACAAAAGATTTGGTCCTGCCGTGTATCGTCTCCAGTCAATTATGTCTATTCAACTCCCCCAGTGGGGCGGGCGCCTGTTTTGTGGGCCAGACCAGAGGAGTGCTGGTAAATGCATAACAACCAGCTCTCCAAGGGAAAAATGCTCTGGAGTTGTGGTGTTTGCCAAGCTCCCTGATATAAATACTCCCACTGTGGCCGATTTCAAGCCACCAGTGTGATGTCACTAAACGTGGAGTTCGGAAAAGGTGTGCACAGTCGGCTGTCTGAAGCTGGTGGGAGCCGGCTCCAGCACACCTGTGGGCCAGGTGGACCCCTCTGGTCCTGCTAGTAACTGAGTTGTGTCATGTGGAGAATTCAGTGACAGTTAGACTCATTGAATTCCTTTTAGAATCACTGAGCTGGTCTGTCAGGGTCTCGGTCACTCTGCAGTTCAGTGACAGCCAGCTGACCGTTGGCAGGCTCTGGAACTTTCCCCCGACCCGCTTCATTCCCATCTGAATGCACATTTAATCTACATGTTAACCAGCGTGATGGAGCCCACCTGTCCATCCCAGGCTTTGTGCCAGGCGCTGGGGCTGCGGGCAAGAGGCAGCGGAGCACAGGGCTTAGGAGCACAGACTGGTGCAGCTGCCGGGTGTGCATCCGTTCCTGCCCCCTCCCGGCGTCAGGGGCTGCAATCCATCAGTCGCTGTCAAGTGTGTAGAACAGGACTGACACAGAGTGGGTGCCCCTGAGTGCCAGTTATCATTGTCATTAATTATTGTTGTCATCGCAGCAATGACCATAGCTTTATGGCTGCTCACCCTTGCCAGGCCCGTTGGCAGTTTGTCCACTTGTCCTTTTATTTCTTCATTCAATTCACTGACACCGAGGCCCCTGACACACAGAGATGGAGGAACCACGGTCCCCGCAGAGCTTGCGTTCTAACTGGGGAGACAGGACCGCCCCAGCCACGCGTCGTTGTGTGTTATAGGTACCAGGATTGCAGTGTGTGCAGGAGACAGTGGGGGCACCGTGGAGGGAGGGCTGCGTCCTCTGGGGGGCTCAGGACAGGCTGGAGAGAGGCAGAGGTCTTAGGCAGAGCTGGGAAGGAGGAACAGGAAGGAGAATGGGAAGGGGCTTCCAAGAGCAAGAGTCGGCGGGGGGCGCGGGGTGAGAGATGCCAGTGCGTTTGCGAGACTGCAAGCCACATGGGGTGGGTGGGACACGGGGGTTGCTGTGAGAGATGAGGCTGGAGAGGCAGGGAGAGGCCAGGTTGGGAAGGCCTTGAATGCCACGCTGAGGGCTTAGGCTTCCTCAAGAGGCAGCCAGCACTGTGCCAGCCTCTGGTCCTGGACAGCTGTCACCCATCGTCCCTGCCGTCTGGGACCCGAAGTGTGATTCACAGTAGGAATGCACTTCCTCCTGTGGGCCTGGCAGAGCAGCCTGACCAGCATCCTTCCTCCTCCCAGGTACCAGGGCAAAGAGGGCTGGGCCCCAGCCTCCTACCTAAAGAAGAGCAGTGGGGAGCCCTTACCTCCGAAGCTGGGCCCCGGCTCCCCCGCCCACGCAGGCGTCCTCGACCTGGACGGAGTCTCCCGGCAGCAGAATGCGGCGGGCAGGGAGAGGGAGCCGCTCCACAACCAGAGGGACGGCCGGTTTGAAGGCCGCCCGGCACCCGAGGGCGACGGCAAGCAGCGTGAGTGATGCCCACCCGAGCTCCCAGCAGCTGAGGGCCTACTGTGTGCCAAGCTCTGTGCCCCGAGCTCCTCACATGCTGTCCCTCATCCTCACAGCAGCCCTGCTGCCCACCCTCCTGTAGATAAGAAAACAGAGGCTCAGAAACCCCAGGGAACTGGTTCCAGATCGTGTAGCCGGCAAGTTGCAGAACCTGAGTCGAGAACCGTTGCTTTCCTGCTCCACACCACGTTCTTTCCGCAATATCGTGATGATCACGACAGCTGCTGTCTCTCAAGCCCCTGCTGTGGGCCAGGGGTCTTATGATTTGTCTCACTGACTCCTCACGACAGCCTCTGAGGGACTTACTGCTGTGTTTTACAGATTAGGAAACAGGGATGGGGTGGTTTGTCTAAGACCCCCAGCCTGTAAACAGTGGGGCCGGGGCTTGACCCCAGCCCTCTGGCTCCAGCGCCAGTGCTCTCTAAATGGCCTCATTTCTGAGCCAGAGGAAGAAAAAGTTGACCCTGTGTTGGATTTCCTCCAACACCAGTTCTTTACACATCCTGCTTTTCAAAGCCTGCCCATTTGTATTTTATCTTGTAACGTTCCCAGCACACCTGCGAGTTGGGTTCTTTATTGTCATCTGCTGCATACCCAGGACTCCAGCCTCAAGCATGTGACCCTGTCCTGGCCGTGCAGGGCAGAGGGAATCTGTCTGTTGAGAAAGAGCTTCCCACCAGCCACAGGGATGAAGTTATTTGCCCCCGGCTGGGCTTCTCCAGCCGCTTATAGTGGCCTTATGGTTAAGGAACTTCCTGAGTCTCTCAATTGTCTGCTTGGCTGCTCTGAGCAAACACTGACATGCCATGGCGAGGGTTCTGGCCAGCCCCTACTTCCTGTGATTCTAATCTATCATGGTCAAGAGCACAGGAGGATTCCCCTTAATACTAGAGAAGCAAATGAAAATCTGGAACCCGACATCTTTTAGGATATAGATTGGAATGCTCAAGCAAAGATCACACAAACACGCGCGCGCACGCGCGCGCGCACACACACCAGTAACAGTGGCTCATGTAATTTAGATGTTTATTTCTTTCACACAAAGCAGTCCAGGTATGTGTCCAGGGCTGCTATAGCAACTCTGTGCAGTCAAGAGTCTTGTTATACTGCATCTACGAGGTGCCCTCATCCACCTGGTCCAGGATGGCTCACCACTAGTCCAGCCAGTGAGGGAGGCAGGGAGAAGTGGAGGACTCAAGTCAGAAGCCGCTGGATTTCCCCTCTCTCACATCCCATTGGCCAGAACGTAATCACGTGGTACTATCTAGCTGCAAAGGAGTCTGGGAAATGTAGTCTTTATGTAGGCAGCTAGGTGTCTGGCTAAAACTGTTGCTATCTATTCTGATAGAAGACAGGGGAAATGGGTATTTAAGAGATGAGCAGTCTCCTCCACACCCTAACTGCTGGACCACCCGACTGTGTAGACCAGTGCTGAGTCAGCTCTGGCAGCGGATGGGGTGACTGCCTCAATGTTCTGCCTTTAGCCAGGAGCCTTGGACCATGGCAGAGTGACCCTCCTCCTCTCCTTGAGACCCAGAGTGAGGGCAGCCCAAGTCCAGAGTGAAAGCCCCTCAAGTCATCAGCCCAAGTTTATTCGGTTCTGTTTGTGTGGTGTTTGAGCTGGTTTGCTGTAGAGCACAGAGCCGAGGCAGTAATGTGTGCTGTGTGCCTGCCACCAGCAGAGAGCCTCGCACCTGCTGTCTACTTTCCTCTCCACCACTGCCCCTGGGAGGTGGCGTCACCCCGCCTGCAGATGAGGGCCTTGGGGCTCAGAGTCAGATCACGTGTTGCAGCCCACCTCTACAGTGCTCCGAAGCCTGCGCTTTTGCCCTTCCGGAAAAGCTGTCGGTTGCTCCAGCACACAGCCCTGCCAGTGGTCCTGGGCTGACTCTCAGCAGCCCCTTCCGAATCGGGCCCTTCCCACAGGAGGGGTCGCAGCAACTCACCATCGCCTGGGCGGGGCATCACACCTGAGCTTCTGCAGGCCAGACTAGGTCTTTCCTGGTGTCCACTGAGGACTGGAACCTGTAGCATTGTGCAGCGTGTGAAGTGAGATCTCCTCTCTTTGTAGGATCACCCAAGATGAGACAGAGACCCCCTCCTCGCCGGGATATGACCATAGTAAGTGGACCCTTGCTGCAGGGGAGCCAGCCCCTGACCTGAGGCTGGCCCTCACGTTCCCCTCACCCTTTCCAGAGATGCTCTTTCCTGTCCACACAGCCTCATGAAGCAGGCCGTACAAGTGCTGGTGTCATTAACAGCTGGGAAGGCTGAGGTCCAGGGGGGAACAGTCCGCCCATGGCTCTGCGAGCATTAGCCCTCAGGATGTGCTCGCTGCTTCCTGAGCCTGCTTCGCTTTCTTAGAGCAGTCTTCTCAAGTAAAGTAACCTGCAACCAAAACTGAGATGAGGCACGAATATCGTTTGTGGTGCTGTTCTGATATTCTCCTTTCATTCTCCATCTTTGATTCTTTAGGTACCTTTCTAGCCCATACTTTGAGAAACAGGCTTTCCTTTTTCAGTGTCTGCCATTCATTGTGCATCTGTCGGGAGCCATGCACTGTGCTGGGTGCTTCCCCACGTTAACTTATTGAATGCTTACAGCAGCCGCACCAGGCAGAGCCTATGATTGTCCCCATTCTACAGGAGATGAAACTGAGGCTCCAGGTGGGGAAGTATTTGCCCAGAGCCACTCACATAATCAGTATTTCTAACCCAGATGGGTCTGACATGCAACCCTGTGTTCTTTCCACAGCTCTTGCTGCCTCTGAAATTCAGAGAATGTTGTCTTGCCCCCAAGTTTCACGATTACAGGCATAAGTCTCCTGTTTCTTCTCGTCACTCTAAAGCTGAAGGGCCAGTGACCCATCTAGGACATGGGTGGTCCTCTTTGTTTTGCCCCTTAGATTCCAAATGGGCCCCCCAGCGCCCCCTGAGGGTGGCTGTGCCCAGTCCCTTAGCGCCGCCCCCGCCCTGCTCCAGCGCCACGGTGGCGCACTTACCTTGAGCTTGTGCTGTGTTTAATCACCCCAGCCTCGAGGTCTCCACCTGCCCAAGCCTCCCATCCCACCCCAGGTGGAGGAAGAGTATTATACCATCGCCGACTTCCAGACCACCATTCCCGACGGCATCAGCTTCCAGGCGGGCCTGAAGGTCGAGGTGAGTGCCCTGGTGTTTCCGCCCACCTGTGACTCTGGAGTCTGAGCACCGCCCTACTTCTCTCACCTCCTGCTTCTCTCACCTCCTACTTTTAGGTTCTTTTTTTTTCTTTGTAACAGCTTTGTTGAGATATAATTCACATACCATACAATTCATGGATTTAAAGTGTAAAATCCAATGGTTTTTAATATATTTCCAGAGTTGTGTAGCTATCACCAGAATCAGTGTTAGAACACTTTCATCACTCAAAAAAAGGAACCCTGGGGCTGGCTGGTGGCATAGTAGTTAAGTTCGCATGGTCCGCTTCAGTGTCCCAGGGTTCACAGATTCAGATCCCAGGTGCAGACCTAGCATCGCTTGTCAAGCCATGCTGCGGTGGCATCCTACATAAAAGAGAGGAAGATGGGCACAGATGTTAGCTCAGCGACAGTCTTCCTCAAGCAAAAAGAAATTGGCAGTAGGTGTTTGCTCAGGGCCAATCTTCCTCACCTAAAAAAAAAAGAAGAAGAAAGGAAAAAGAAACCCTGTACCCATTAGCAGTCACTCCCCTTTCTGCTCAGTCCTTCTTGGTCATAGGGCTCCAGCCCTAGGCAACCGCTCATCTACTTTCTGTCTCTATAGATTTGCCTGTTTTGGACATTTCACACAAGTGGACACATATACTCTGAGGTCTTCTGTGACTGGCTGTGTTCTGTTTTTATCACCTCCTACTGCTTCTTGCCTCTCCTGTCTCCTTGTGCTCCCACTCCTTCACATGTCCACTTTGTTCCCTGAATAAAGGCCAACATAAATCCTTTCTCCTCTTCATTTCTCTTTTCTCCCTGGGTTCGAGCTCAAAGGCGTTCGTTCCCAGGAAAGCCTGTGAGTAACGGGACGGCCGTGAGTGCCGGGCACTACACAAGTGCTGGACGGACAGTGCCTCACTTCGTCATGTAATCGCTCACTCTTGTGAGGCAGGACCCTGACAGCCCCCGTTTCTCAGATGAGGAAGCTCTGGCTTGGAAAAAAGGTGCTGTCTAAGTCACACAGCTAACAGGTGGCAGAGCCAGGATTTGAACCCACGTCAGTCTCCAGATTCGGCCCAGGGGTGTGGACAGCCTGTTGTCATTTATCTGCCGACATCTGGGAACTTCAGGAGGGCAGAGACCAGGGCTGTTCTTCACTCCTGCTTCCCCACAGGCAGCACGGTGCCTGGCACGTGGGAGCTTTGCAATGAATGTTGAATCAGTGAAAACCTGTCTCCCCACAGCCTCCCACTTAACACGCAGAAGGCCTATGTGTGTTTTCTGCATTCTGGCCTTGCTCCACAGCAGGTACTCAGTAAACCCTTCCTTTATGAATGCAGGTTCAGCTGGATCAAGGAAGTAAGGAGTGAATGAGTGATGATTGAGTCCGTGCGCCAGTGTCACACAGTTTTGGAGGGTCTTTACTTGCCCTCTGAGAGGCTTCCAACGCCCCCGCTGTTTCCCTCCAGCTCTGACGCTTCCTGCCTCTCCCTCTCCTCCCGCTGCATCCCGGGGCAGCTGCCCAGGGATCTTGGCAGAAGGCGACTTCCTGAAGGTGCATCCTGGGCCTCACCACCCTTGATTCTGCTCAAGCCTCTCCAGAAACTTCTCCTCAAGCCAGGTGTCCTTCAGCACATTGAAGGAGGGCTGTCTGCCGGGGTTTTTGAAGAACCTGAGCCAAAGCCTCTCAAACTAAATTTTATAAAATGCAAACCCTAATCCGCACAGAGAAACCGATGGGAAAGCAGAAGTACCTCCAAGGCTCAAAAAGGCTTTTTATCTGCTCCTTTTTATTCTTTATCTGCTCCTTTTTTTTTGCCGCCATTCTGGCCTTTCCAACTTCAAATCCACAGACAGAACTCACAAGGCATCTTGCTGGTGCTACACGCTAGTTCTGTGCCCAATTCTGCCACCGTGCTGTTGGAAAACATGCACGTCCTGTTCTGACATGGCATATGTTGCCTCTTTCTTAACGTCTTTCCGCATCAAGAGCTGTTCCTTCTACCTTTGCTGTTCAGCCTATTGCCACTGCTTTCCTCTGAGCCCCACTGGTCCAGCTGACCCTTCCCCCCACCTTACTCTCTCTTCCAGGAATGACCTTCCTTTAACCCAGCTCCTAACCTTCTACCTGCCTTCTCCTAGATGGCACTCAAGGCCATTTTTTGAACTGAATTTGGCATATCAAAACCCAACTCATTCTTCACATCTTTGCTTCCTCTGGGGAGCCTCCCCTGATTCGCACCGGTTTCCCTGCCCTACCCTGTGTTAGCTGCTCTGGGGCCACGTGTTTCAGTTCTTAGCTAAGAGCAGTCCATCGCTTCTGTACATGATGCTTTCTTGACGTTATGAGAATTGAATGTTAGTTTCCCCTCATTCTTCAGGGACTGAGTTTTGAATTGCAGGTTGAAAGTCATCCTCCCTCGGTACTTTGGTTTTTTGGGTTTTTTTTTAAGATTGGCACCTGAGCTAACAACTGTTGCCAATCTTCTTTTTTATTTTCTGCTTTTTCTCCCCAAATCCCTCCAGTACATAGTTGTATATTCTAGTTGTGGCATGTGGGACACCGCCTCAGCATGGCTTGATGAGTGGTACCCTGTCCGCACCCAGGATCCGAATCAGCGAAACCCTGGGCTGCCGATGGAGCGCGCGAGAACTTAACCACTCTGCCGTGGGGCCGGCCCCCTCCCTCGGTACTTTGAATCGATTGTTCCATTTTCTTCTTACTTCTAGCCTTGCTAGTAAGCACTGCTGTCTGTGTGGTTCTTGTTCTCATGTTCGTTATCTGTCATTTCTCTCATTCTTTGAGGAGTTCCTCATTGCCTTTAAAATGCTGAAATTTCACTAAAGTGTGTCCACGTGTGAGTTTCTTTATTTTTATCCTGCTCAGCATGTGGTGGGCCATTTCAGTCTAAGAACTCAGGAGGTCTTCCCAGAAAATTCCTCACTTTTACTTCTTTAAATATTGACTCCCTTCACCCTTTTTATTCTTTCCTTCTGGAACTGCTATTGAACAGATAAGGGAACTTCTGCCCCATGCTCCATGTCTCTTTACTTTTCTTTCAGATTTTCCATCTTTATCCCTTTGTGCTACATTCTGAGAGCATTCTGCTTCATCTTTTGGCTCATTAATTTGCTCTTCAGCATTTCAGTCTGTTGCTTATTTTGTTTCAGCAATTATAATTTTCGTTTCCAAGAGCTCTTATTGATTCTTTTTCATAGTCACCTGTTCTTGTTTCACAATAGCCTGTTTTTTCATGAATTTGATGCCCTTCTATATCTAAGGATATTAAGTATGTTTAATTTAAGCTGCTATTGATATTGTTTATTATTTGTTTCCTCGGTTGTAAATCTTTTGCAGTGGTGTTGGTATTGATTTCAGTTCTTTTCATGGTGTTAGTCCTTGTCTTGGGCTGTGCAAGAAGTGGCAGGGGACAGTTGAACAGCCCAGTTAGGGAGTGTGCACAAGGAGGTGGTCAGCTTCCTCTGGTTTCAGTTCCAGAATGGGGACTTCAGAGCCAGCCACTGAGCAGTGTCGTGTCTCTCTTACCCGGCTCCCAGATTCACTGCTTCCACTTGTGAGCAATCACTTTCTTTACTCCTCCTGCCCTGCAAGAATGGGATACAGGGCATCGTGGGGTCAGCCAGCCTGGCTGCTTCTGCCATGGCATCCCGGGTAACCCCTGTCCCTTGCTCCTGGGCCTCCCTGTTCCCAGGCTCTCCCACCTTAAAGTCAGGTGGGCCTCAGCACTGCTCCCACCTTTTGCAGTAGGACCTCCTGGCCCACAGCCTCCCTCTGCAGCTTCCGTCCGTCAGTCATTCCTCACAATTTCCGGTGCACTGACTTCTCCCCTTCCTCCTTCAGAGCTTCACTTTGTATTCCTTTATTTGTGTCCCTGTATTTGTTGCTTGAAGGGGAAGCTGCTGTTCACTCCATCTCCCGTCTTGAAACCGGAAGTCTGACTTGCATATTATCAATGGGTTTTTTCCCCAGAGAGCTGAAAAACATTATAAAAGCTTCTTCTCCTTTAAGACGGTGAGTTTCCAGCATTTTGTGCAAACACACACCGTTGTTTGAGCATGCTGGCAAACGGAACATTCGCCAATAAGCACCACCACTCCCTGGCTCCGAATGTCCCGAAATCCGCCAAGGGCAGCTCAGGCTGTCACGGACGATGACTGCAGCTGAGGGCTGACTGCAAGCGGTTGGACGTCATGGGGCTTTCTGGCGATGTTGGGGAGTCTCCCTCCTGGCTCCGCCCACTTCAGTCAGAACCGTTCCCGTTTCTTGTTTCTGGCTTTTAGCCTGTCTGCTTTTGCTGAAGCTGATCCAATAAAAAGCTCACATACCCAACATTCTTTTCCAGAAAGCACAGATATAAACCATCCTCGAAACTTCTCTGCTTATTGTTCCATGATGTCAGCCTAGGTTCTGCCAGTGGGAACTGGAGGGACTCACGTGGGAAATAGTTGCTGCTAAAGTTTTTGGCTTACCTGGGTGTTCTTTTCTGGTGATAAATTCTGTATCTTCTGTTTTTCTTCTCCAGGTTTGCTTCCTAGTTCATTTCAATATCATCTTAGCCTTGAGAATTCATTCATGGAACCACGGTGTTCCCACAGTGGTGCCACCAGAAACACCTTAGTTTCTTGCCTGGTCTCTGTTTTATGGTGGTGGTGACGGTGCTGGTGGTAGTGATAGTTTGATGATATAGACACCTCTCTGTGCAGGTACCTTACATACTTGATAGCTCGTCTTCACAGAAGTCCCAAGAGGTCAGTATCTTCAGCCCATTTTATAGATGTACCTGAGACCCAGAGAGATGTACCTGAGACCCAAGGTGACGTAGCTAGTAGGTGGTGGAGCTGGGCTTCGAATCCAGGGCTCTTTTCTTTCCCCCTCGTTCTTGTGAATTTGCATTTGCTTTTATTCATCATCACTCTTGGCTTCTCTCTAATAAACGACAGCTCCCATAAGTCATGATTCAGAACACAAATGTTTAGAGCTTCTGCCATGGTACTCTGCAGAGTGTAAGCTTAGCAAATCTTCATTGATATATTTCATTTTGACTATTGTCCTGTTTTCACTTGCTCACATACTTAAGTGTTAGAGTTGGTGAATTCGCGGATGTGCCGACGATAACTTGTATGCCCAGAATTGCCTTCTGTCGTGAGCAGAGCTACCAAGTGTTGATAAGATGCTGGTCCCCTCCCCTGAAGGGCTTGCGTTCATGAGGACCGTTCCCTGGAGAGGCTCCAGTGGGGCTTGTGAAGCATCCTGCTTCCTCAGTGGTCTCCAGGATCATTTAATAGCTGGTAATGTTTGCCTTCCAGTGTTTACCTGGTGCTGTTGCACGCATCAGCTTCTATGATCATCGTGAAAATCTTGCAAGTGGGTGTTGTTCTTACTGTCACCCCTGTTTTGTGAGGTGGAATCTCAGGCATGTGGCTCGTGCAGGCCATTCAGGCAGGAAAAGGTGGAGCCAGAACCAGAGCCTGGACGGCGGGCCCCAGAGCCCAGCCTCTGCCTCCCCTGCGGCTGCCGTTCTCTCTCCTGAGCTGGGCGGCAGAGTGCAGCGCAGAACCACGCCCTCGGCCCGACTGGCCCCCAGCACTTTCTCACCCCAGGCTCGGCTCCTCCCCACGCAGGGTCCCCTTTCCAGGACACGGTCAAGTGAGCTATGGTGAAAGCACACGCCCTGGAGCCCACCCGCCTGCTTTGACTCCCACCTCCACCGTTGACTGTCTCCGTGACCCTCTGCGAGCTCCCAGCTCTCCTGAGGCTCGGTTCTGCATCTGTAAAATGGGGTGAATATTGCCGTTTCATAGGGCAGTTGTAAGCATTAATCAGATCTCCTCTGCACAGAGCCTCCCAGGGAATTGCAGCATATTGGTCTGCACAGGCTGCCATCACAGAACACCAAGGACTGGGTGGTTTGAACAACAGAGATTTATTTTCTCACAGTTCTCGAGGCTGGAAGTCAGGTTCAAAGTGTCAGCAGGGTTGGTTTCTCCTGAGGCCTCTCTCCTTGGCCTGCAGACGGCTGCCTTCTCGCTTCGTTCACATGTGGTCCTCCCTAATTCTGTGTGTCCTCTGCATCCTCTTCTCCTCTTCTTATAAGGACACCAGCTATATTGGATTAGGGCCCACCCTAATGACCCCATTTATCTTATTTGCCTCTTAAAAGGCCCCATCTCTTGGGGCTGGCCTGGTGGTGCAGCCGTGAAGTGCACACGCTCTGCTTCGGCGGCCCGGGGTTCACCAGTTCGGATCCTGGGTGCGGACATGGCACCGCTTGGCAAAGCCATGCTGTGGTAGGCGTCCCACATATAAAGTAGAGGAAGATGGGCACAGATGTTAGCTTAGGGCCAGTCTTCCTCAGCAAAAAGAGGAGGATTGGCAGCAGTTAGCTCAGGGCTAATCTTCCTCAAAAAAAATATTTAAAAATTAAAAAAATTTTAAAAAGCTCCCATCTCCAAATACCGTCCCATTGTAAGGTACAGGGGAGTAAGGCTTCAACATACGGATTTGGAGGGGACGCCGTTCAGCCTATAACATGCAGCATGCAAACCTTTCACCCACATCAATTCAGCCACACGATACTGAACAAAAAGGAGACAGGAAACAGAAGATCTTAAATAATGTGAGCAGTTCCACCCGCCGTTTCATTCCGTGGGTGTGTGGCCCAGAGCAAGAAGGGGGTGAGATGAAAGTCTGTTTCACGTCCAGCAGCAGCGGTTTCCCTGAGTCTGCACACGAGCTGAGTGTGGCCCGTGTTTAAGGATACACATTTCATACAGTGTGGCCTGTAAACACCAGCCAGCCACCTCGTGTGGTGCTCAACCAAAGGAGCAGCCGTCAAGGCTCGTTTTGGGTATGTGTGGGTTTTGCCTTGTCCTTCTTTAGAATTGTAGCAGACGCTGCTGGTGGCCTGCCCTGCGTCCTGACCCCAAGTTGACCTACAGCTGCACTCAGGTCCCCACAGCTGACAGCGTCCCACCTCCTACACCTGCCTCAGGGCACTACCCAGAAAGAGGGGGAGTTAATGCCCTGGGGAGAGGGACCAGGAATCAGGAGGTAGATGTCCCCACCCTGGTGGACTGAGTCTGGTTCTGCATTATCTCTCAGAGGGTCGCTGGCGGATTAAGCCCCAGAGGCCAGAGCAAAAACTGGCTCTCTCCTTCCCCATCCCTCACTTGTGCTTCCTGAGATCGCCTCTCAAATCCACTGCCTGCACCCAGGTCCACGACTCAGGGACTGCTTGTGAGGGAACCCAGTCCCGTGTAAGATGTTCCTGATACACAGTAAAGTCTCCAGAGATGGTCCACCAGAGATGTTGTCTGGGCACCTGCCGAGTGCGGAACTCCTGCTTCTAGAAGCCCAGCTGCATGTGGGTTCTCCCGGCCCATGCTGGTACGCTGGCCCTGAGACCATCCCTACTAAGAGCTTTCTTCTGTCCTCCCTTTCAGGTGATTGAGAAAAACTTGAGTGGCTGGTGGTACATTCAGATTGAAGATAAGGAAGGATGGGCCCCAGCAACCTTCATTGATAAGTATAAGAAGACCAGTAATGCCTCAAGACCCAACTTTCTGGCTCCCTTGCCCAACGAGGTGACCCAGCTCCGGCTGGGAGATGCAGCCCCGATGGAGAACAACACCGGCAGTGAAGCCGTGGGCCCCTCCCGGCCCCTGCCCGAGGCACCCCCCGGTGCTGTGGACTCCGGGATGGCGTGGTCCAAAGACTGGAAGGGTGGTAAGGAGGCCCTGAGAAAGGCGTCTTCAGACATGTCCTCGTGCGCAGGCTACGAGGAGATCTCGGACCCCGACCTGGAGGAGAAGCCCAGCCTCCCTCCCCGGAAAGAATCCATCATGAAGTCGGAAGAGGAGGTGCAGGAGCGGGAGCGGCAGAGGGCGGAGCAGCTCCGTGGCTCCTCACCCAAGCCCCCTGGCGTGATTCTGCCGATGATTCCAGCCAAACTCACCCCCCCAGCCCGGGAGGGCAGGAAGCCGGAGCCCAAACCTGACAAAAGCAAGTTGTTCCAGCTGAAAAATGAGATGGGGCTGGAGTGTGGCCACAAAGTATTGGCCAAGGAGGTGAAGAAGCCCAACCTCCGACCCGTCTCCAAACCCAAAGCCGACCCCCCGGAGGAGAGGCCAGAAGCCGCACCCCAGCATCCCTTCTTGAAGTCCAAACCTCAGGTGAGGCCCAAGCCGGCTCCCTCCCCCAGGACAGAGCCCCCTCAGGGCGAAGACCCAGTGGACATCTGCAGCCTCAGGAGCAAGCTCAGGCCCGCCAAGTCCCAGGAGAAACCCTCAGCGGACGGGGAGAGCAGCCACCAGGCTGTCGGGGGGCAAGACGGGGCCTTCAGCCGCGGCTTCCTCCCCGGGGAGGGGCCCGGCCGCGCCCCGGACAGGACGGGCAAACAGGATGGGCTCAACCCAAAGGAGATGTCATGCAGAGCCCCACCGAGGCCGGCCAAGACTGCGGATCCTGGGCCGAAGAATGTGCCCGTCCCTCTCCAAGAGGCTCCCCAGCAAAGACCTGTGGTCCCGCCCCGGAGACCACCCCCACCCAAGAAAACCTCCTCAGCGTCCAGGCCCCTCCCAGAGGTCAGAGGGCCGCCGCGTGAGGCCAACGAAGGCAAGGGAGCTCCTGCCCCAGGCCGGGCCCTCCTCGTCCCTCCAAAAGCCAAACCTTTTCTGTCCAACTCCTTAGGGAGCCAGGAGGACATGCGAGGCAAAGGTGGGCCGGGGCCACGGGTGACGGGCAAGATCGGAGAAAACAGGGAGAAAATGGCTGCAGCCCCGGTTCCCAACGCCGATGGCCTGAAGGACTTGTATGTGGCTGTGGCCAACTTTGAAGGAGACGAAGATACCAGCAGCTTCCAGGAGGGGACGGTGTTCGAAGTCCGGGAAAAGAACAGCAGCGGCTGGTGGTTCTGCCAGGTGCTGAGTGGGGCCCCGCCCTGGGAAGGGTGGATCCCTTCCAACTATCTCAGAAAGAAGCCGTAGCCGCCTCCCTCCGTGCCTGGACGTCCTAAGCATCCCCGCTGGCTTTACCCACGTATTTAATATGCCTCTTAATTTATCCTCCTCCACCAGCCCCAAAGGAAGGCAGAGTCTGGAGTACCTGATTTCTTCCCACTGTGGGTGGAGAGTGATCCCTCCCATCACAGCATCCTCTGGAGGCTCAGAGACACACCCTTGCTTTCTCTCCACTCAGCATCTCTGCCTTAAGGCCAGTGGCATTGCCCACCCAGCAGAGGGACCAGAGCCCACCATCTGCAGAAAATGTTTCTCGTGGCTTGGACCAGGCGTTGTAAGGAGCAGCCTTTCTGGCCCCTACCCAGTCCGTGACAGCTTGCTCTGATTTCTCCAAGTCTCTCAAAGCCCACTGACTTTATTCACTCAGTTTCCAAGATGCCTGGTACCAGAAAGAACTTCATCCCTTAGAAGTGGGCTCCATTGCCAATCCCAGGGAGGTGTCCTCTTCCCTGAGGCCACAGGACCAAGGCCTCTCAGGTTCAACCAGATGCAGCTGCCCCAGAAGTGGGCCTGGGGGTCCGATCGGCCCTCCTGCCTTCCATCTTCTGTCTTGGGACCCTGATAGTCCTGAAGGGTAGTTCCAGCTCCGAGCGTGCTTCATCCTCCTGCTGCACGCTCATCCATCCTAGGGCTTTCGAATAAGAATCCCCACTCGCCTTGGGGCGTTCCACTTTTGTCTACTTAGAGCAAGAATCTCAAAGTTTGTTTGAATAAGGGGGCCGTTCCCTTTGCTGAATAGCAGTAGGTGCCAGACTCTGAACTTGACACTTTACCTTCATGTTTCAACCCTCACAAACACCTTCTCTCACAACATTATACCCATTTTATAGATGAGGAAACTCGGGCTCAGTGTGCCCAAGGCATTCTAGCTAGGAAGGGGAGAAAAGAGGATTTGAATTCAGGCCTGCCTGACTTCTGTGCCTGTGCCCTTCCCCCCATAAGAGGCAAACCAGACAGGCGACAGGGAGAAGCTGGCCGGGTGCCAGGAGCCAAGTCGCTTCCTTTTGTGGGTGAGGGGACATTTGGGGCTGCTCTCACACCCACCACCCCTCCAGCCCACTGCAGCATACCCTGAAGGCGGCCCTGGTCCCTCGGCAGCTGCTCCGTGCATGGGGATGCTCAGAGCCCTGGTGGCTGCCACAGAGCCCTGTTTCCTGCGCCTGTGCTGGTGCCCCTTCAGCGGGATAGAGCTCATGAGCAAGGGAGCTGAAGCAGTCTCACATGCCAGCCTTGAGGGGCCTGGTGGCTCAGGGACCTCCACCAAACTGAGCCTAGCAAGCAGTACCCCAAAAAGGGACAGGGACCCAAGGGCCAGGCAGACGCCTCCTTTCCCTCTGTGCTCGAGCTTCCCGCTCCTCTCTGGCATGGGGAGAGGGGTTTTCTCTTTTTCTCCTGTACTTTCCCTCTCTCTTATCTCACTGGGAGGAACCCAGGGCAGCCATTTGACCCATTTTGACAGATGTGGTTCACTGAGGCACGCAGAGGCACAGCTGCACTGCAGAACTAGAATCTGGACCCGGGGCTTCTGGCTCCTGCCTGGAGCTCTTGCTGTGGACCAGGCGACCTGGGGGGTGAAAGGGCAGAACCCCTCCCCACCCTCCCCCACCCTGCAGGAGAAGAGGAAGTGGCCCTGTCCTGCCCCAGAGATGTCCAGTTGAGAGTGTTCATCCACTGCGGTGCTTTTGGAACCACAAGGCCAGCTCTCCTGGGGACACTTGCTGTCCACCTGCAGTGCCAAAGATTTATGTGCGAACAGCCCCCTTCCTGCCCCCACCCCGCCATGGGCTCTGGATGCTTCAGCAGGAGAAAGAGCTTCCTCTGACCCACAGGAGTATCTTTATGTTCTTCCATCAGTCTGTAAATCGCATCTCCCCGGGGATCTGGGGCAGAGTCCCGAGGTGCTCCTCGCAGCGCCTGCAGGCCCCTTGCCTGACGCCCAGAAGCCTTAGGGGGAGAAGGGAGGCTGGGAAAGGGCCACCCACCTCTTCAAGGTCCCCTCGCTTGAGAGGAGACCTCATAGCACGTTTTCCTGAGTTTTTGATCCACTTTGGCTTAAACAGCTTTTGTGAAGCTGTTGTGCGGGATTTGACTACATTTCAAAAGACAAACTAAATTTTTTTCTTCTGATTCGCTTTCTGCTTTCATTGCCCTTTCCAAGTGTTCCGTGAGCGCCTGCTGCGTGCTGGGCGCTGGGTGGACCAAGCTGCGTGCAGCTCCGCGCCTGGCTGTGCGAGCTGTGTTTTGTGTTTGCTGACTCCACTGAAGCGGTTGTCTTTGGCCTCGTTCCCTCCTCCCGTTTGTCAGCTGGGTGGGAATGAACTGGCTCCACCTTTCTCTGGACAGAAAGTTCTCCTGCAAGGAATTTCAGTTTTTATTATTATTGTTGTTGTTGTTGTTATTCTGATGTGAACTGCAGGTACTGAAGCCTCATTCCTCTCTGTTCACCTTCCTCGGGACACGTCTATGGCCTGAGGACTCCTCTCTCCAGCTCCTTTTTGCCACAGTGGTAGGCACTTCCCCAGGCAACTGGAAGTGGGGCGTCTTGATGGCCGGTGGCACTTGCTAGCTGTCCTTGCCTGGGGAGTTAGGTTTATGCCATCCAAGACCATGGCCACTATTCTGTGAGCAATTGATGGAGCATAGGCAAAACTCCCCTGGAGTTACAGCTGTGGAAATGTCCAGGGCTATAGTTACAACTCCCATGCCAAGCTCCGGGCAGGTCACCGGTGCTTAAACATGCTCCCTCCTTTAACTTAATCCTCACGACAACCCCGTGAGGTGTGTAGGATCAGCCCGACCTGTGGTGAGAAAGTTTAGGTTCCGAGGGTCTAGTCCCATGCCCAGCTTCATCTACATGCTGACCAACCTGGCCGTTTTCTCCCCGATGCCCATGACTTCTCCGCTGCCGTCAGCAGTGAACTGTGCATGGTGCTTGCTTCCAGGGAAGCAGGTGACCCTCCCTCTTAATTTAGGTTTCTCCTCCCTGCACCCCATCATCACACGTGTCAGTAGGCCAAATCACAGGCCAAATGCCCACCCAAAAGGCGGGCGAAGGTGGATTTTTCCCTTAACTCACCCCTGCTTACTTTCTTGTGGTGACTATTTTGTCTTGCATTCTAGGGCAAAACTACAGCTCGTGGTGCCATCAAATCTTTGGAAAATCTGAGTTTTAGGACGCCCACTTGATAAAACAGGCCTTTGTTCAGATTTTTCGCTCCAAATCTCTTTCCCATTGTGTGGGTTTATGTCATCATCCCGGGCTGAGACGTGGGGAGAGCTGGGCTCTGCTCGAAGCACTTTCAATGCCCTGCCCTACTGAGGAATTGTTAGAGCCCGTATCTGGCTCCCAGTGGTCATTTGAAGCCTCCACCACAAGGCCTCTCCAGGTAATCGATTTCTTAGGCAAAGTTCTTGGCCTTAGAACGTTTCGGAGCCCACTGGGGATCTTATTACCAGGTGGAATGTAGGAAAACAAGCTTGACACATTAAAGGGCAGGTGCCAAGTCTCCCAAGGTTTGGAAGGACCTTAGGCGAAGGGATGGACAATCTAGTATTTATTCAGCCTGTATCAAGTACGCAGCACTGAGTGGGATAAAAGAAATTGCTCCGCCCTCAAATAGCTGGCAGCTCAACATCATCAAGAACAAGAACATTTGAGGCTTGGCTCCCGTCCTTCCATTGTGCCCGAGTCTCGAAGTGTTGGGTCAGACTGCTCCCTGGGAGGTCTTGCCCAGGTCTTGGGACTGCGACGGTGGGCACTTAGCCTCAGCCATGCGTGGCAGTCCTGTTCCCCTCTTGGTTGTTCAGGCCCATCCTTCAGGGCTTTTGCTGAAACAGCCATACCATACCATAGACCAAAGATTACCTAATGTCAAACTGTGTGGCCTGGATGAGTGGGAAATTGACTCACACTGAGGCCTGAGGGTGCAGGGTGCCCTCCCTCAGCCCGAGGAATTGCTCCTAACTTGGCTAAGGTCCTGACATCTCGAGGGACCGCAGCCCGTGACGGTTGCAGGCAGAGTTGAAGCCGTGGACCCCCTGCTGAGGACCCTTCCCACGGACTTGACTGTCCGGCTTGGCAGGGGGTGTCTGGTTTTTGGTGCTCCCCTGCCGAGTTACTGAGTCCCTCATCGTGCTTCAACATTCCATCTTTCCCTTTCTGTCCAGTAGGCCTTTTAGCTCCAGTCAGGGATAAGGGGCTCGCCCTCTTTGGTTCTTGAAGAGGCCAAACCCAGTGCCACAGCCAGTAGCCTTCACTTTTGGGGCTTCTGTAAACATCCAAAGGAGGAGCCCCTGCCAGGCTCGTTACAGCAATAAGCAATTCTAACACGACAAAGGTGTCCGTGTTTCACCCCAGTGCACACCTGTCCATGCCTTCATGCCCATGTAATTCTTAGTAACACCCCTTCCGCTCTTACGAGGGTGATGATAAACTATGGTTACCTTAGCTACATCTCACGTTTCCTGCTTCAGGGAGCCACTAGCCATTTCTTGCATCCCTCTAGGACCAGTGAGCTCTCACAGCACGGCCCCACCACTGTGTGTCTGCTCGTAGGATAACGCTGGAGCTCGCTGGATATCTCAGCAAATTCCTCAAACCCTCGGCAAACTGACAGATTCCGGTGGTGTTTTTCGTTTCAACACAAAAAAATACGTGAGAATATATAATATGAGGGGGGAGGGGTGGTGAACAATTAGCTGTAGCATGTATGGACTATACACTTTACCATTAGACTTTTTCTTTTCTTTTTTTTTTTAATAAAGTGCTTGACTGGTTTCAAGCTTCATTGGGAAGATGCAGTGTCTATGGATTTTATTTGGCTGAAGAAAGGTTGCCTAGCTTTGTGCCCTGGCATCTTGGCCTGGAGTTTGGGGATCAGAGAACAGAAGCCTGTGTGCTGTGTTTGGGCACTGCCCAGAAATAGGAGTGACTCCTCTCTGGGCCCTAGTGCACTCTGATTCTTTGAACTGCAATGTCCAGAAGTTAAGGAAAGCTTCCTTGTATTCCCCGGGAACCTGCCACGTATTCTCAGCTCTATGCCTAAAGATGGAAGACTTCACGAGTCCAGGGCGTCTCGAACCTCTCGCTGGCCTTGCCTACTGATGGCGAGAGTGTGCGGAGGAGGGCAGGGTGCAGCCATGGTTGGGCCGCAGGGACTGCCCTGCCTGATGCCTTAGTATTTTCCCAGGGGCAGAGGCAAGGCACAACCCACCCCCACTGTTGAACCGTCTTGTTCCCAGGTGAATCTTTAAACAAAGTGACACCGGCACCCCACCTCCCTAGGGAGAGAAGAATAGGACCAGGAGAGTCCTTGAACTTCAGTGGGGAGGATGTACATGACATTCATCCTCCTTGGAGGAAATATTCCAAAGAGTGCAATGACCTGGCAGACCTTGCTTAGGAGCAATGGTCACTGATATATTCATCTCGAAGGAAAAATCACGGTGTGTTTCAGGCTCCCCTTGGGAGCATTTTCTCCCAAATCTTCCAAACCAAGAGTGCTTAGTCTTAAGAATACAACTGGCAATGTCAGTGGCACGGGCTTCTCAGACAGGTGTGCAAGGGCACTTGAGCCTCATGGGATGGGATGGGAATGGACTGTGGTCAGGCACCAAACCTGACTTCCTCTGTCAGGGGCGCTTACCCCACTGCCTGCCTTCGGGTCTCACTCGGAGCCGGCACCTTCATCATTCCCTTTGTTGTCTGCCAGGAATGCCACGCCAACCACCCACGATCACTCTCCCTGCTCTGAGGGGCCGTGGTGAATTTGTGGGTGCTAGATGCTGTGAATGGTTTCATGGTCATCCCGTCTCTAATTCAGCGTCCATTTGGTCCAGGTGTGATGTTTTACCATCTTGCAACCCGTGCCTCCCAGTCAATGGTTCTCAAGTTTTAGTGACTGTAAGAATTAGCCGGGAACTTGTCAAAGTGCACATGCCTGGGCTGCTCGCCCTGCAAGTCGGACCCAGCAGGAATCTGCATCCTTACGAAGTCCCTTGTGAGGAAGTAGCCTGCATGCTCCACTTTTGAGAAACGGCCAGACTAGCACCTGGCCTGGCATAGTATAAGTGTTCAGAAGTGATGCTTCATACTATTAATTATTGATGTCATTGTTATTTTTCTGAGCATTTACTGTGTTCCAGGCCTGTGGGGCACTCTCCACATACTTTTATTTTATTTTTTTTTGGGGGGGAAGATTAGCCCTGAGCTAACAGCTGCCACCAATCCTCCTCTTTTTGCTGAGGAAGATTGGCCATGACCCAACATCCGTGCCCATCTTCCTCTACTTTATATGTGGGACGCCTGCCACGGCATGGCTTGATAAGCCGTGCATAGGTCCACACCTGGGATCTGAACCGGTGAACCCCAGGCCGCCAAAGTGGAACTTGTGAACTTAACCACTGCGCCACCAGGCCAGCCCTGTCCACACGCTTGTATTTCATGAAGTAGCTGTCTGCACTTTACATATGAAGGCTCTGGGTTTCAGAAAGGTAGAGGCACAGGATCACGGTCTTGCATCGCTCATACGTGGCACATCTGGTCCCGTATAGCTCTTTAACTCACCCTACAGCCCCTCCCAAATGCTGGTCAAAGTACATATCTTGTCCTGATATTATTTCCTGGATTCAAAATCTTACTCAAGAAATACTTCCTCTCGCAAACAGCTAACTCCATAATTAAGGGGAAAGCTCTGACTTTTGTTGAGTACCTGCTGTTGGCTGGGTACCTTATAGATATTCTCTCTTTAGTGTTTGCCATAGTTCTTCTAAATAGGAATTATTATACCCACTTTGTGGATGGAAATTAAGAGTCTGAGAGGTTAAGTTTACCCCTGGTCACAGCTAATATGAGGATGAACTTGGATCTTCAACGCCAAAGCCGCTTACCTTAATAGACCTGGTGGCTCCCAGATCTATAATCTTTACATTCAGCATTTTCCAAAGTGTGTTTTCCAAAACCAACGTCAATGGATATTCTGAAATAAGTATTCTGTGGACACGTTAGTTTGAGAAATGTTGTGTTAAGTAAAGTTAAAGTTTCTGTATTCCAGGACTTCTCCAAGCCTCTTATATAATAACATGCAGTGTGAGTGTCTGAGAGGGAGTTTGTTTATATTGGGTTCCTCAAACATACTTGACCATGAAACCATTCACAGAGCATCTAGCAGGAGCCATGCTTTATGCAGTGAACTCTGGAAAATGTCAAATTTTACATTTCAGCTCTGCCTGGAATGTTATCTGAACTACAGCTCTTAGCTGGTCCTTCACCCTGATTCCACCCCTCAATGCAGCCCAATCTTCAACGCCGACATTCACAGCATCATGAGGACAACATCCTTCTTCAAATGGAGAAGTGCTCATGAACTGCAAGGTTTCCTAGTTGCTAGTGGTCTAACTCAGAGCCATCTGAATGGATTTCTGCGTAGTGAGATCGCCACGGGAAGGAAACTGTTCAGAAAGTGGCCCCAGGAATGGAATTGGTTTTCTACTTCATAAACAGGTTTTCCTTTAGAGACCTATAAATTAACGGCAGTGTTCAGAGCAGTCAAATTCAAGTTAATAAAGCCCAGCTTCATCTCAAGGCCCAGGAGGCCCAGATCCTACAATAATTACATTCTCTAATTCTTTTAAACTGCGTGGAACTTGGCCACACGCTGGTACAGTATAGTTTAGAATAGTAGTCTTCAAATAGTTTTCATTGTGTACTGCCAATAAAATTTTCAGCATATATGCAGTATATAAGTAAATAAAATAGATGTCTTGCTAAATAAACATATGTACAAGATTCTTAGGTGGGAAATTCTTACACTCCATGCTTGGTGTTCCCTTCCACGTGAAGAGAGCTACACTAGGGTGATGTTCCAGCCCTCTCTCTCCCGAGGGGAGAAGAGAAGTATCTAGGTGATGGATATTTAGGGGGGCAGGAGCCAGACTTGCATAGCTCAGCCCCTTCCTCTCCTGTTTGGGGTCAGATGTCCTCGGGGAGCAGTCTTTCCACTTGGCCCCTGACACTGGGAGGATTAGTGGGCGCCCACAAAAGAAATCCTCTGCTTTTGAGGCGCGCCTGTGGCTGGGTCAATGAGTGTGTCTGGTTCTGGGGTGCAGGTTTAGGAAACCCTTGACTGGCGCACACCTCACTTCAGCCAGGTTCCCTCACGCTCTCTCAAGAATAAAGCTGAGGGGCCGGCCCGGTGGCGCAGCGGTTAAGTTTGCACATTCCACTTCGGCGGCCCGTGGTTCACCGGTTCGGATCCTGGGTGCAGACTTGGCACCACTTGGCAAAAAGCCATCTGTGGTAGACATCCCACGTATAAAGTAGAGGAAGATGGGCACGGATGTTAGCTCAGGGCGTCTTCCTCAGCAAAAAGGAGGATTGACAGCAGTTGGCTCAGGGCTAATCTTCCTCAAAAAAAAAAAAGTAAATGAAAATAAAGCTGACATTTGTCCTCTGATTCCTTGATCCCACTCTCTCTCTCTCAGTTAGTCCTGAACCTCGGTGAGGAGAAAGGGGAGCGATTTATTAGACTCCTTAAAAACTGTCTCTTGGCTACTGATTAGGAGAATTTTAGCTAATTTATTACAATAGTATTGTATATTATAACAGAATCTATATATGACATTAAAAGTATCTGAAGGATAAGCTAAAATATATATAATTAAGAGGTCTAATTTTTCATTACTGTGAGATAATAGAAAGTCTTTCTGGGTCTCTGCCCCCGGCCCCTGCGCAGAGCTCCTGAGACCCTTGTAATTTCCTAAGTGAGGAGGGCGCTGGAGCTTCTTTTGTTTTAATATTTGGTCTTCGACACCGGTTTCTGACGCAGGGCTCCTAAAACCCTTGTAAATTCCTGGGCGATAGGATTGTCTTTTGTTCTAGAATGAGATAACTCTGGGTGGGTTCCTCGATGGCTCCTGAAGGGGGCTGGTCACCAGGAAGACCAAGCCATGGTTAGAAGCTTGGACTTTTGAGCCCCGCCCCCCTCCTCTTGAGAAGGAAGAGGGGCTGAAAATGGAGTTAGTGGTCCATCGTGCCTACCTGAGGAAGCCTTCCTAAACATCCCAATAGTGTGGGGCTCAGACTGCTTCCAGGTTGGAGAGCACATTCACACTGCGAGGGTGACACCATGGGGACAGAAGCTCCTGGCTTGGGACCCTCCCAGACCTCACCCTATATATCTCTTCATCTGGCTGCTCCTCTGTATCCTTTATCATTTCCTTTAGTAAATTGGTAAGTGTAAGTGTTTCCCTGAGTTCTGTGAGCTACTCTAGCAAATTAATTGAATCTGAGGAGGAGGTCGTGGGAACCTCTGATTTGTATCCAAATCAGACAGCAGTTGTGGGTAATCCGGGGACCTCTTACTTGCGATTGGCATCTGAGGTGGGGGCAGTCTTGAGGGACTGAACTCTTAACCCGGGGAGTCCAATACTATCTCCAGGCAGATAGTGTTAGAATTGAATTAAATTGCAGGACACGAGCTGATGTTGCAGAGAATCGCTTGGCATGGGACAAACCTGACACATTTGGTGACAGAAGTGTCAGAAGTGAAGTGTCTGTGAGTAATAAAGGAGTCTCACAGGGAGACACAAGAGACACAGGTGGAAAACTGGAGCTTTTCTAGCATGGCCACATTGCAATGACTCCTCTTATCCCCACCGGGATGTGTGGATCCCACTGTGTAAACTGCTGACAAAGGAACGGTTATGGACTTTGCCGGGGAGACCACCCGGGGCTTGAGTTCTGGCTCTGGCATGCACTTCACCTCTCTGATACGCAGTGTCCTCAGCTGTAAAAT